TGGCTGAAACTTTAAACTGCTATAACTCCCATAGTTTTCACCCAAACGGGGTGGAATTTAGAACATAGATAGATATAATGGATTTCTACAAGAAGGTATGGTCAGCATGCTCATGTATGCACGTGCGTGCACGTGAAATGAGTCAAATCAAACATACACTTGAATGAGCGTATTTTTTAATAATTTTGGATTAAATATTTAATATTCAGTGTATTAAAAATATAGATTGTGTAGACAAGATGATATGGTCATGACGCAAATGCATTCACATGTGCACGCGTGCAATGCTAAAGTTTAAACAATTTTTGTACATTTCTTTGTAAATGTTGTTAAAATCTCAGATGCATAGAGTTTGTCTTATTTAATGAAGCTTACAGGGAATATGGCACTAAAAGGGAGTTGGGGAGCGTTTGGGGAACATCTGTAACGGTCCCCGTTACAATTAGCACTAGTTACTTAAGAATTTTGTCTGCTTGTTTTCATTATCAATCTGCACGGATGGATGCTCCACCAGTTTTGACACTTCACTCTGATTTTTTAGACTCCTTCCTCTTCTCCAGGTTTCGTCTGTGGCTGGCCGTCTCTTGGGCAGGATTGAAGCTGAAAGAATTCTATCTAGAATATAATTTATGACTATATATTTTAAGCGAACAACTTCATGTATTTTCTGCTGTTATGATGAAAGGTATCACCAACATTTTAGGTAATGACCTTTCATAATTGCATACTTTGATAATAAAATGATGAAGATTTCAACAACAGTGGCTTCATAACTGTTATATTTTACTGAAAAATCAAGTCTTTATAAAAGAAAAAAAACATGCCTTGCTTTTGATCTTGTATTGAATAGATAACAGTTTAGTTATACCTTGAGACAGCCACATGACTTATCAAGTACTCACTGAGAACCAACTTTGATACAGCAACATGGAAAACTTTGACATCATGTATACTGCTAGTTCACATTGCGAACCAATAACTTTGAGGCAGTAACATGGAAAACTTTGACATCATGTATACTGTTAGTTCACATAGCGAACTAATAACTTTGATACAGCAACATGGAAAACTTTGACATCATGTATGCTGCTAGTTTACATTGCGAACCAATAACTTTGAAACAGTAACATGGAAAACTTTGACATTATGTATACTGCTAGTTCACATTGCAAACCAATAACTTTGAGACAGTAACATGGAAAACTTTGACATCATGTATACTGCTAGTTCAAATTGCGAACCAATAACTTTGATACAGCAACATGGAAAACTTTGACATCATGTATGCTGCTAGTTCACATTGCGAACCAATAACTTTGAGACAGTAACATGGAAAACTTTGACATCATGTATACTGCTAGTTCACATTGCAAACCAATAACTTTGAGACAGTAACATGGAAAACTTTGACATCATGTATACTGCTAGTTCACATAGCGAACTAATAACTTTGATGCAGCAACATGGAAAACTCTGACATCATGTATACTGCTAGTTCACATTGCGAACCAATAACTTTAATACAGCAATTAACATGGAAAATTTTGACATATGTATACAGTAAGTTTACCCTGCAAACAATTACTTTGAGACATTAGCATGGAAAATTTTGACATTATGTTCTGCAGGTTTTCATGAAGTTATATATATCCTAAAGAAAGATATAATAATACTTGAATGTTTAGAACAGACATCTTTCTAAATATCTTACTAGATATTTGACTCGTGTCCTATACATATGCATCTATTCATTTCCATGATTTATGCTCATATATCATGTATATCATTATATCAAACTTCAAATTAATTTATACTGGCCTTAGCCTCCTGCAAGTGTTGACCACCTTATCTTTGATTGACCATTGACCATAAGTACTGGATGGGTACTGCATGATTTTGTACGTAGGTGAACTCCCTCAGGTACAGTAGATTAGTCCCAAAACCCCGGTGTTTCCAAAATGACACATACAGTGTATGGTAAGGATTCAGACACAGAGTTTCTAAGCTGATTAATTTCAATAACAACATTGTTGCATCCCGGTGGTAAGTTGTGAGGGTCCCGTAGGAGAAGTTGCATAAAATTACATGTTTCACACTCGTACCATGAATCAGGAAGTTCGTAAAAGAAATATACCTTACAATCTTTGTGGGGGGTCGAAGGAAAGTTCGTTACCTCCGATTTGAAAAAGGCTAATGTCAGGGGCTGTGGAGAAAGTACATAGTGTTCACGATGTCGCCAAACCCTTATCGTTTAACCCACCTTGGCCACGGATCAACAGTGAGAATCTATTTATAATTTAGGTCAAAACAAAGATTTTTTTTTCACATTTTTTTCTTTCATATACTTGTCCATCCTTCTAATGTACGAATGGCCGATTAGCACAATCCTCGTCATGTCCGCCATTTTGAAACACCCCGCATGTACCCAGGCTCCGATGGAGTCGAAAAACAGTCACAAAGCGAATCCGAAATATCACTTACATACTGTGCATAAAGTCGTATGCACTGCTAACCCACTGATTATTAAGCATTGATCAAGCTGAATAATCCGAAATCGTTATGTTTTTGTACAAAAAATGGTGTGTACAAGCACTTGCAGCATCCACCAGCGATAACAATCACGTGATATCTCCGACGTTAGCTCACGACTAATCAACGCAAAGTCCCAAAACCTGAGACTATGCATTACATAACGTCCTAGCTCTGAAACCTGATATATACATGAAATATACTACAATCACTACATTCTAACCACAGAAAATGGTAAATTACATATGTATGCATAAAACATATTATTGTCAATAATATTACATTGGTAAATCAACTATGACATACCTTACTACATGTATAAAACAAAATTATCAAAATTTAAACATAAAATATTCAATAAACGGTTTAAAGTCATACACGTATGGATATAAAAGGATGAAACCTGACCATATAATACAGAAAAGAGCCATAAAACATTTACCAAAAATAAGTTTTGATGTTTCTCTTTGGTTACTATATGTAATGTTTGCCATGGATTTTTTACCACAGAGAGCACATATTTGCGGTCACTTTTTAAATCTAAATTCGATTACTTCTTAATCTTACACTGAGTCAAATACTGACTTATGTTTTTCATACTTATTGTTAGTCCTTTATTTATACACTGAATTGACGATGGATTTTCCGTAATTCCCCGATCATGACAAGGAGCATACAGTGGGTGTGACCGGTCTGTAGGGGATGCTCATTCAATCCATGACACCTGATCCCATAATTGAGATTCTATTTTGTATTGTTTTATGTACTTTTGATCTTGAATATCGTTCGTTAATTCCATATACTTCGACCAAACTTTAAAAAGATGAGCTTGGTTCACTTAATGCATAAAATGGCCCTGTAGATATATAAATTGATTGATTAACACTTGATGTTAAATAAAATACAGACTTTATGCTTTCATTTCCTATAAAAAGTTTCTAATAAAAGTCCAGGTCTTTGAGAAATTGGCTTTTGAAATTGCAATGTTCTTGAATTGTTAATGTAAACAAATATATTTGAATACATTCAATGAAGAAAAATAATATGAGCGCACTCTATGATTTAAAAAATTAAACGTCTTTTAATCCTCAGCAACAGTTCTATCATTTACTAGTTACATATTTTAGATCAGAGGTTGCACCCTATGTTAACGAAAAATAGCTTCAAAAATTACCGCTTTTCTAAACTTTTTCAAAATATGAGGAAACTGACGCATTTCGTAAGGTCATAATGCATTGACTAGCCAGAAAATTATGCCATTTTTGATAGATACGCAATCACCAAAGATCTAAATAATATTTAATGCATTGTTAATTATAACGAGATAGTTTCGTTTTTTAGAAATTCACAGGGCCAAAAAGGCAAAAGTGAACCTTGCTCTTTTTATATGAATTTTCATGTTTTTTTTAATCGGGATGAATGCATTAATCCAATCTTAGTTAAAGTATTTTACAGAATTATATTGCTGATGCATTAATTTATTTGATATACATAGCTGGATTTTAATATTTTTCAGCTCAGTTCGTAGAGTACACGATGTATCACATATTGATCAAAAATGATTGTCTCAAAGAGAACTGAATGGTAATTCTCGCAGAATTCGTTTGATTTCGAGATACTTGCACAGCCTTTTCCTGTCTCGCGCTTTCCTTTTGCTTGGGACTTCCCCTTCATTTTCGAGTTTTGGTGCTGTTTTCTTCATCTGTATGAAACACATTCTTGAATAATGTCCAATTCTGTGGCATTCGTAACACTTCTGGCTTACCGCAAAACATAAAACATTAGGATGCACGTTTCCGCACCTTCCGCAAACTATATACTGACAGGAAAGAAAAGTTGAACTTTTTAAGTCTCCACTTAAAGAAAAAAGAATACTCCATTGCTGTCCAAATACGTCTGCTTCATCTGTATCTGTACTGTCAAAGTGTGGAAAAACTCGCTATTTACATGTAGCTGTAGAGGTCCAAGATCTGACTACCACAAAATTAATGTAGCAGACCCGGGTGTCGTTACCCGGATTCTCCACCGATTTATTGCTGGGTGTAAGGCAATTCCAGAGCTAATTCCGAGGCGGGTGAAAAGCTCGCCGTAATACATGTACTCATATGGGAGGCGGGGTTCTCATTTAGTGAACTCATTGCTCACAGTACCTCTAGTTTGAATATATTTTACTTTAGAAATGTAATTCAATAATGTAATTTATAAATGAATGACATTTTTGAATGTATCTAAATACATTCAATTACTTGTAATAGAAAAACAAAGTAAATTAAAAACAACATCAATTACTTTGAAAAAAAATTATTTCATTCAATTAACTACAACTACTTATTTCGACTACCCCCTCCCGGATGCTTCTTTTTCTCTAAATGTGAAATATAAATTGGGCTTGGTCCGGTTTTCTTTTATTTAGATTTAATTTCTAAACATATACAGCAAAACGATTTTTTTAACGTTAAGATTATTTTTACCTGCAATTTGTCTTGGTTTTGCACACACCTCGATGGTTGCATTCCGGAACGAATTTATAACACAGTGATAAGAAAAGTCCTCTGAACAGTGTTGTGGAATATCCTGACACCGTTTTTTACTCGCTCTCTCATTCCATTTCTCAATGGTAAGTGGACAATGAGAAACATGAGATATAGTAGGAATTGACGCCAAACACGCTCCATTCTAAAAGGGTAAATCATCATTATATCTTAAATATACATGTATTCTCAGTTGCACTGTGTAGTTTGACAACAAATATTAATTAATACCTGTAACTAGATATTTAATATTCTTCTTTATTTTGAACATTGCTGAATGCACGTATAGCAAATTCTATCAATACAGTGTGTTTTTGATATTTTACAAACTTACTACTTATTCCTTTTTATATACGGAAGTCTTAGATGGATATTAACTCATTTATTAAGTAATAAGGGACATCGACTTACTTGAAATGACCTATTTGTTATGACTTATTTATTATGAAGTTCTTGATACTAGTTATAATAAAGAGTAAAAAGTAGATACAGAGAACGTGATAGCTTGGCTTACGTTTGATCATTTAATCTTATTATTAATCTAATAATCTAATTTAAGGAGGCTGGGAGGTTAACAAATTAACCGCAAATTATACACGAGATTTAGCTTATTTTTTTTTTAGATACGATATCTTAAGCTGTCAACTATAATTTGGCAAAGAAAAAAATCATATATTTTAGATTTAAAATTTAATCATTTTTGTATATCTTTATATGGACCTCTTCTTTTAAAGGATATCGAAAAAGTCTGAAAATGGCTGCCACCACCAAGCCTCTCTAAATATTCTTTGATGAATTGTAGCAAAAACTTGCCTGTATCATACCGGTATATCCTTGGAAAAAAGATGGATATTATTGTTATTTGTGCTTTGAGCTTTTTTTTTTGGTATCACATGTTTATTCATGAAACATAAAATTGGCGCGAGAAATGTAGGCTATTTGTACTTTCGGGAAAAAAAATTAAGAATTTGAATTTATTACTAATAACAGTAAAATAAAATGTCAGTTATATTTTGTTATGCAAACTGGAAGTAACAAATGAAAATTAAATAGCAACTTTTACGTTAAAAAGAAATAACATTTACAAAAAACAATTTAGTTTTAACACAAATATGTCAATAGATAAGAATTTAGTACTCACATTTGTATTTAGATATTAAACTAGTGTACATTCAAACAATTTAAAACCACTGTTAATATAGATCTTAACATATCATTTTAAGCCAGGCTACACGTTCTACATGGCAACGTTACACTTAGTTTTAACTAAAAACAAATAATTCATAACAATGAAGTCACAACATACAAGCTTTAACAAATAATCATAAAATGTAAGTCAATGCCCTTCCAAGGCTTCCGTATTATACATGTACCACAATTTATCAATCAAAGTGTATTCAAGTTCTCCATTAAGCTTCTTAATTACCTTTTGTAATAACCAGCTACAAAAAGTCTAAACAAATAAGCCATTACAAGTAAGGCAATTCCCCTCCAGAGCTTCCTTAAAAAATGTGTTCGTAGGATATATAATGGGGAATATACTTCCGTTTTGTGCTTCATTCGTTTTCAAAATCCCATTCAAATAAGTACATATAAAACGTATTTGTATTAGTGCATGACGAAGCTTAACAATATATACAGTTACATTGTTTTTATTTCATTTATCTGAAATTTGAAAGATGATACTGAGTATATCATAACATATACTAGTAAGCAAGTACATTAACAGTTAGAATTGTCAATTTCGATTACACCAGAAAAGAAGATAGCAAATTCTTATTTGTTCAAAAACACATATACTTACATTTTCAGCGGTAACGTGACTCAGTGTAAAGTGAATAATGATTGGAAAATATCGCACACAAATGCACATTTTTGCAATCGAAAAAGTTTGCATGCACTACATTAAAATAATGATAATTATAGTTAATATGAATCTACTCTGGAATATCACATAACAGCATTTTTGATATTCCAAATGCAGAGTAAATAAGATAAATATATTTGTTGTACATGTGCAACCGTACGTATATTGATCTGCATAGATATATATGTTTACATATATGAAATAGATAACAGATAGCAAATAGGGAGATAAATGTTCCGGTGAGATTAATAGAATCATTCATTACTACGAGTGTGGGATAGTGAAATTTCACCGAGGGGACAAGATTCACAGTCAAGCTACGACGAGGCTTTACCGTGAATCTTGGCCCCGAGATGGAATTTCACTATTCCCACAGGAGTAAATAATGAATTATTATTTTTCTCGCATTATTTTATTTAAAAAAAACGGCCTGTCAATGACGTCACCTTACATGTAGGGATGAAAAAAATATTTTTTTAGTTTTCCATCTAATAAAAAATCTAAATACACCATCGGAAAGAGCTTACCTAAAAATGGTTTACACGTAGTGTAATCGTGTTAACTAAAAAATAAATTTCAGTTTATGTAAATTCATTAGATAGATTAAAACTGGATATAAAAAAAACTTATCTATTCGACAGCGTAAACATTCATTCTTAGACAAGAAGAATTCTTCCGCTATCTTAATATAGTGCCATTTAACAAGTGAAAATATTTTGAATGAAAATAAGTTTTTTTTTATAAGTTAAATGAGGAATTTTATTTTTATGTGGTATTTTTTAACATTATTACAATTTTTTTTATATTAAGACGGAATGTTTACGTTATCGTTTGCGGCGTAGTAATACACAGTGTAAGACAGAAAAATCTCACACAGTACAAGTCAATCTAACACTGGTAATTAAGCAAGAAAAAAAAAAGGTCTTATACGAGTCAAGCCATTCATACTCTTTTTTCTCCATTTAGCCTTCATAAGTGTATATAGGTATATGGCAAAACACAAAACCACATAGTTAAAATTAATAATGTCCACTGTCTCAACGGGGAGGCAATATTTGAGAAACAGGAGAACTATTTGATTATTGAGCGAACGACATTTCAAGATGGAGATATTGACAGTGGTACATGTACATATAAAGATGGAATTGGGCACCCTATTTTTCTGAGATTTTTTCCTGACCCCCTCCCCTTTTTGCTGCTGTACGGTGTCGCATAATATTTGGTCCGCCTCGTTTAAAGGTCCGGCCGGACCAAATACGATAACATATTTGGTCCGCCTGGCTCTATAAGAAAAGGTCCGCCCTCGGCTATACAAATTGTATGCATGTGGTTCATTCGATATTGATTGAAAAACTATTCTTTTAAAATTATTTAAGGATATAAAGTCGTATTAATAGCTAGTGTTTTCTCCAAGAAAATGTAGTAAACAATAAGTAAGAAATCGAAATTAATACATAAATAAAGGAATGTTTAGATTTATTGATCGGGTTTCCCGTCGGGAAGATAGGACATGCTTCTTTTGTCGTTTAAATTAATACACTAATGTCAACATTATCATAAAAAAAATATTAAGAATACAAATGTACATACATTTACCTTCATCGCCTTGTTTACTAGCAGATTAATCATATTGAATGAACAGATAATGTTCGTAAGTCCAACACGAATCATTTAGTTACACTCTCTTTCCTATAAACATGATAAACGTTTGACTAAATATAAATCCACTCACAAAAACTGAAGTTCACATCTTTCAAAATATATTTCTTTATAGTATTGATAAAAGAAATCTGTCATTCTTTACGTTTAATATTGTTGTAAATAACTGGAGGGTCACTAGCTGTGACAGGGGCTTATGTCACAGTGTACTACCCTACACCCCTTATTGTAAAAACAACATGCCTACGGATTGGGCAGTTGGGGGGGGTTTATGCAAGCTATTCCCACTTTCTGAAAATCAGGTAGAAAAAGGTGAAATTTCACGTGGGATTAGGTGGAATTTTGTGTAAACAAATAATTAACTATGTTCTTAAATTTAGGTATCAAGTTGCTATTTCTTGTAAAATCTTTTTATAATTGTTTCGTTTGAGAAAACCTAAAGTACCATATCCCCTGTGTTTTTTATAAGTTAACACTGTCTCTTACCTATTCAAAGGCTAATTATTATATCTACTAGATCTCTACATTTCATTTCCTGAATTTAACACTGCCGACAATTTTTGTTATTATTTCGGAATCCGACAATTTTATTTTCATTTTCGACATTATTTATTTCTTTTTTTTCACATTTTCGGATTTTTTAGGATACCTTTACGGCAATTTAAATTTAACATTTAATATTGTTTACTTCTAGTAGTAGTAGTAGTAGTAGAAGTAAACAATATTAAGACTGTTAATAAGTAAAGGAAACAGTTAAGTGAAACTTCACATTCACAATACATGTACCTACATCTGTTCCAGAGTAAAATCAATTAAGTTTCTTTGACAGCTAAGAGCAAAGTCTTTTCTTTGAATAAATTATCTAAAATATTTTACCTTAAGGATTTTTATAACGGATGCATGAATTCTTTTTTCTTTTACGAAAAAGTACTGACATGAATTTGACAAATGTCGGAGATGAAAACTTTTAAAATGTAAAAACTTAAAAATGTCGGAAATGAAAAGTTCAGGAAATTCCGGAAATGAAATGCGGCCTACTAAATATTACTCCGGGACAAGGTAAATGTGCATTAATTGGCGAAATCAAACCAAAAAACCAAATTAAGTCGACAAATTGCTGGATTTATAAATGCCTTTATTTTTCATATTTAATATACATTTTGCTCATATAAAATCTCTGTGCACTACATTTATGATAATTATATTATTTATACTTATGTCTCTCGGTTTCGGTTTCAATAAAAATCAACATTTTATACCCCCCTCCTAAATGGGTTTTTTTTTTGGGAGGGGGGGGGAATGGAGTGCAGTAAAATCACGCAGATACCTGTCAAAAAAGTTTAAAGTTTTAAATTATACCGATATTGTACACCATATAAAGAGCTTGAGTTTAAAGACACACAATTTCAGAAAAGAACGAATGCACTTATGGGCCTTGGTAAAAAAATAAACAAAGCTAGCAAATTTTTCATATCAAATCATTAATTGATCAATCATTAATTGATATCTAAACCATACGATTCAACAATTTTTAACGCTGAAATTCATGAAATATAAAGAACAAAACCATACATTTGTTTACTATGGCCTAACTTTGTACAAACTTGTGTGAATGGCAAAAGAAGTATAATACATTTATAAAGCTTGTGTGAAAGAAGGAAATTTGCACACTATTAGGCTGGTACTTAAAATATTAATTATTTAATTTAATAATAATTATAAGGAAGTTCTAAACACTGCACACTAAAAAAGTTCTAATCTCTAGTTTTCAAGTTACGAAAATAAACCCTGTCCAAAAAATTCTCTTTCTAATATAAAAATATTTAAAATACAGAAGGCGGACCTTTTCTGATAACTGCGTTTTAAGGTCCGCCCTGTCTATTTTTCTAGTTTTCAAGCTACGAAAATAAACCCTGTCCAAAAATTTCTCTTTATGACATGAATATATCTGAAATACAGAGGGCGGACCTTTTCTGATAACTGCGTTTTAAGGTCCGCCCTGTCGCTTTCCCTAGTTTTCAAGCTACGAAAATAAACCCTGTCCAAAAATTTCTCTTTATGACATGAATATATCTGGAATACAGAGGGCGGACCTTTTCTGATAACTGCGTTTTAAGGTCCGCCCTGTCGCTTTGCCTAGTTTTCAAGCTACGAAAATAAACCCTGTCCAAAAATTTCTCTTTATGACATGAATATATCTGAAATACAGAGGGCGGGCCTCTTCTGGTAACTACGTTTTAAGGTCCGCCCTGTCTCTTTCCGTAGTTTTTTAAGGTACGAAAATAAACCCAGTCCAAAAATTTCCCTTTATGTCATGAATATATCTGAAATATAGAGGGCGGACCTTTTCTGATAACTGCGTTTTAAGGTCCGCCCTGTCTATTTTTCTAGTTTTCAAGCTACGAAAATAAACCCTGTCCAAAAATTTCTCTTTATGACATGAATATATCTGAAGTACAGAGGGCGGACCTTTTCTTATAACTGCGTTTTAAGGTCCGCCCTGTCTATTTTTTTTTTTTTTAGTTTTCAGGCTACGAAAATAAACCCTGTCCAAAAATTTCCCTTCATAACATAAAAATATCTGAAATACAGAGGGCGGACCTTTTCTGATAATTTCGTTTTAAGGTCCGCCCTCTCTATTTTTCTAGTTTTCAAGCTATAAAAATAAACCCTGTCCAAAAATTTCTCTTTCTTCTATGAATAATATATCTGAAATACAGAGGGCGGATCTTTTCTGATAACTGCGTTTTAAGGTCCGCCCTGTCTTTTTCCCTAGTTTTTTACGCTACGAAAATAAACCCTGTCCAAAAACTTCCCTTCATAACATAAAAATATCTGAAATACAGAGGGCGGACCTTTTCTGATAACTGCGTTTTAAGGTCCGCCCTGTCTATTTTTCTAGTTTTCCAGCTACGAAAATAAACCCTGTCCAAAAATTTCCCTTCATAACATAAAAATATCTTAAATACAGAGGGCGGACCTTTTCTTATAACTGCGTTTTAAGGTCCGCCCTGTCTATTTTTTTTTTTTTTTTTTTAGTTTTAAAGCGACGAAAATAAACCCAGTCCAAAAATTTCACTTTATGACATGAAGATATTAGCTGCAGATCTGTAGCTCTCCGAAAAAAAAAATATTGATAGACCGGAGATCTGTAGCTCTCCGAAAAAGAAAATATTGATAGACCGGAGAGCTACAGTGCCACCCATTGAAAAAACTGTATATTTATTGCGCACAAAAAAGTGCGCTCGGTTCTCGATTTATTTCTCCATTTTTTAAAAACATTACTAATCGTGTGTTCCTAACATATTCTTTCGCGGTTTCCACAACCAAACATTCCTCATAATTGCTGTTAATAGTCCTCCTGTCCCTGTTATTGTAATCATCGAACATTTCGCTATTTATACTGCCATTTTAGTTTCAAAGATAATTCGGTCCAATATGCTTCGTTCAGATGTCAACTACGAGAGTACTTGATAGAGGATAAAGGCATTTTTTAAAAAAATCTTTCCTTTTTTGCAATTGAGGTAAGAATTTGGAAGATTTAATCAAGAACCGAGCGCACTTTTTTGTGCGCAATAAATATAGTTTTTTCAATGGGTGGCACTGTAGCTCTCCGGTGTATCAATATATTTTTTTCGGAGAGTTACAGATCTGCAGCTATGAAGATATATGAAATGCAGAGGGCGGACCTTATATAATACTGCGTTTAAAACCTTTAAAGTCATAAAAGGCGTTTTTCTTTTACAAGTTCAGACTAGAAATATAAAAAAAGATCATTTTATTTGTTTTGGTACTTTATATACCACGCTGTAAAGATAGGACTGCTGCATTTCATTTCCGGAAATCGGCATGGCATTTCCGCCATTTCTTTATTTCATTTCCGACAATTTGTCTTTTCTTTTCTGACATTTATTTCTTTTCATTTCTGGAATTTTTGCAAGGTACTTCTCCGGCAATTTAATGATTACCAGGTACATGTATGTAGAAATGGAATTTTGAAAGAATTTATTATACACAACATTTTAATATAAAAGTTCTGTATACATGTATCTGTACATGAAGCATTAAGTCTAGTTAACAGAGTTTAATGAGCATGCAATTTTTTCATCGCATTTAATGTTCACTAAATTAAACGTCAAAGACTGTGCCGAACATTGATTTACTAAACAGTCTATAATTTATTCTTTAAAAATTTTCATTACCGGAAAGCACTAAATTCCTGAAAAATGTCGGATATGAACACTTTAGAATGTCGAAAATGAAAGCTTAAAATGTCGGAAATAAAAAGTTTAAAATTTCAACACCAAAAAAAAAAAATCCGATATGGAATGCAGACTGAAACATTTTATGAAAATCAAACAATTTAAATCAATCGTGTTTCATAGATATCCGAGATTTAAAACAATGGCCGATTCTTATCGACTCGGAATTTAAATATCAGACACAGTTTTAATTCAATTAGTTTGAATTTAACTAATAGAAACGTGGGGGTATTTAAGTTCAATATCGGTGAAATTTTTGATTTGAACCTAAAAACCAAATCTCATGTAAATCTATGCTTAATCTTGTATTTTTAATTTTTAGCTCAGATACGCCATATTTAGATTTAAATATTCAAATAAAGATTATACATGTATGGTTATAATTATCAAAAATTTTGCACTTTTGAAGTGTACGCCTGAATATTTCTCTCTCTTGGCATAATATTTTTAATTAAAAAATAAGATCTATTAATATGTACCATTAGGTACACATGACCATTAGGTTCACCAACCATTCAATGACAGCGCCATCTGCCGCGGGCTCTACTGTGGGTACGGTGGGTACCTGTCAGGTAAACAAATACGTCACACACCCATTGTTTTATTAGCTATACACACCGACAGATTTCACACCTTTAATCGTACTAATTTACAAATAGCAAATTCTAAGGAAAAACAAACACTTGCAAAATACTTGTGGCATGATTTTTAAAGAAATCATGGCCCTAAACGGCACTGCTTAAAGCACACTATACGAGTAGATTCTTGTCTAGAGATACTTGTATGTTGTACAAAAAATAAAACACAACAGGGTTAATCCTTCTTTCATCATATAATATAAACAAACTACCCGGTAGCCTTAATTTCATATGTTAAATTCAAGATTAAAACATTTTGCACCACCCGGACCTTAAAACGCAGGGGGACCTTTTCTTATACGGGCCGGACCTTTTCTTATAAAAGGCGGACCAAATATGATATCGTATTAGGTCCGGCCGGACCTTTAAACGAGGCGGACCAAATATTATGCGACAACGGTCAAAACCCTCCAAAAAGCTCCAAAGATTGTTTTGAGTTTCGAGTGATTTTCCATTTGTTTCTTCCCCCGCACACATACAAACGCACAAACTTAATGGCTTATGTTTTCTGTTTTTGAAGGAGGAGAAGTAATGTAGAATAAAGTAGAGTTTTTAGAAAATTGAAACATGTATTTTATGTTTTAAAAAGCATAAGTGAAATAAAAACAGATGATTATCACGACATGAGATTTGCGATAAAGTTTACCTTGCTCGTCTTTTTGTAAAAGATTGAATAAGAAATCATTTTACACCTTCTATCTTATGATATGTATAATACAAATGACTTCAACTTTGCCATCGCTATTATTCTATTTCTCTAATATAACAAGGTGAGGGCGTGTTTTATAAATTTCATATAAGGCAAATGGCGTACGTTTTTGCTATGTAAATATGTAAATGCACAACCATATATGCAGTAGGATAAGCCACATGCATTTACATTTAATTTTTTTTATATCTCATTCAAATAATTGCCTTTTGATTAGATATGACAGCATTCGGTCCATTTTTTTTCGTTAAATATATCTTCCTGTTATAAGACCACGTAGTCGGATAATTTTTGCAAGGTTGAGATCCTGTCTAAAGATTACATCCATTTGATTAAGATCAGATCTTGATTTTTTTATTAGCCTCTATGTTTCGAGTTATAACGTTCAAATTACTTGAAATTTGGTCAAGAATTTATACGACTACACTATTGAAATAAGGAAATATTGAAACATTGACAATGCTACAGACTTTATTCTGAACTTTCAAAGTACAGAATTCGTGTTTGGTGATAGCGTGAAATATATTTTAAAACATACATTAGATTAATATATTATCATCCATAAGTAAGTAAATTCTGCAGCCTAGTTCTCGGATTTGGTTGATACATGTTAGAACATGTTTTTCCAATTCCTGATGATTTACTACTTTTTACTGACAGCGCTCTGTGAAAAGAAATTACCAAATTGTGATGGGTATGATATTCTTATCCTCCTCTCTCTCTCTCTCTCTCTCTCTCTCTCTCTCTCTCTCTCTCTCTCTCTCTCTCTCTCTCTCTCTCGTTAAATTTGCGGTTTTTATTCATTTTTTAATTCATTTTTTTAAAGACCAGGTAAATGCTGCACCGGTTATACATGGAACGAAACTAGTCACAGCTGTGAAAGTAAGTTGTCCTGATTTTGGGTTTTTTTCTATCAAGTATTCTTTTGTAATTTGTAATATCAATTTTAAACAATTTAATTATGTATTAGAACATCCATGTGTGTACGCAATTCGTCGACAGGCTAAGATTTAATCTTTAACCACGAGAAAATATTAATGCTTTAAAAATGTGCTTAAATAACTAAATAATTTTGATTCAAATTTTAAAACTTTTCTAGAAATATTGATTTATATATAACATGTAACAATAATTGTTTCCGTACATATTCCTATTGGAGGGAGGTTAGTCGATTATATATTTGTTACGCTTTCAAATGCTCAAAAAATATTTCAGCGACAATTTATATCTTTTATATCGTAATAGAAAATCTGTAGGTTTTATTGTTTGAAATAAAACTCTTAAGTTAAATTAAATACTTAAATCTGTTAACAGTAGCTTATTTGGTAGAGTTGCTCACTCCGTGATCGGGAGATCGTGCATTCAAATTTTGGCCAGGACGGACCTTAATCGATATAAAATTAGTAGCAACCTTTTCCTCGCCATGCGCTAGGCAGAACTTGAAGTTAAAGTTGTGGGTTATATGTATGAGACCTTACATTTCATCCCCTACTGCTCAATGACCCTGAGTGCTGAGAAAAGATCAAATTTGAAGCCCTTCAGAGACATATGCTGACATCTCAATTTTAGCGAAAAACTAGTTTTTACGAAGTAAATCAAGCTTTGAATTTAAATATAGTTACTCTTTTAAACTTTTTACTAAATATAAAGCAAGTCGTTTCAACAAAAAATAAATCTGTTATTGACAATAATATGTCAGAAAAAGTCATGACTAAAACTAAAAAATCTTTAAAAATTTAGTACATCAAATTCAACATGTTCAAAGTATCAAAGAATTTCACATCCTGTACTATAGTACGTAATTAAATGGTAAACGAGAGAATTATATTTACCTTTCATTAGATATAATAATGCTTTAGTTAAATAAACTACGTAATTAAGTACAATAATATTATTGTCTTTAGAATGTGACATCGGCTATATTGGTGTACAGTGCAATAGGACATGTCCTTACCCGTCATATGGTTTTGAGTGTCAGCAGTATTGCAAGTGTCAAGAGGAGTTGTGTGACTTTGCATTAGGCTGTCGACTACCAGGTCTTATTGCCACTTGCATTTATTTATCTTTTAAAAAATATTAATAAAAACCAATCTCGCCTTCGTGAAAATTAAATAACAGTTAGTTTCTTGTACAGTTTTCCTATGATACTTTTTATATTTTAGAATGCAGAAATGGTTATAAAGGTCTGTTTTGTAACTCAAAGTGTGTGTATCCAAATTACGGTTATCGATGTTTAATGCAATGTGACTGCTCCCCTGACAACTGCGACTATGTTAACGGATGTCAAACCGGTGAGAAATGTGTATCCATGTACATGAAATGTCTCCTACGAAGTAAAAAACTTAAACAGATAAATTAAAAATTAAATTGATAAAAAGGGATCTTAATAAAATTAATATGTTTTTTGCAGCAAAAGATATACCAACAGTCGAAACAACAAAAATATTCTTAGAACTAACAATCAAAAACGTAACAAATCCGTGCAATAGAAGTCTGGTTCCTATTATACCTGATAATGGCCGTCATTTTATCGTTCATTTAGCTTATGGTTTAACTATCTTGTTTCTGATTATTTTCGTATTTGGTTCTGCAATAACAATTTACTTGAAATCGCTCTACACTTCAAGTAACCCCCAAAATGGAAACGAATACACGGAAAAGATGGAAGATCATGAATTACACATTGGATTTGAAAGTCCGTATCATTCAGTCAATGATGGACCTATTAACCCTGAAGAAGAAGGAACTACGATTAAACAAAACTTCACTACTCAGGATGATTACCATGGTTCAGGAACACTCAAGGAAGTTGCAGATTGCACACAAAGCACCGCATACTTAACAGTAATGGCATAGTTTAAAGGAATAAAATAAACACTTTAAATATTAACCATTTCATTATAATAATTGTGTTTCAATTTTGGAGATATTTAATCAGTTATCTATATTTTCATGACGGAGAAAAACATGTTAATAATTTTCTGATGCAAACAAATCAATGATGTTAAATATGAAAGTTCAATCTACAAAATTTGATTAAATTAGTAAAATATTTCTTTACCTTCAGTATTCATGTAGCTCCTGAATTAAAAAAAAACCAATAAAATACAATAAACAGTCTAGCGTTTTGTATATTAGAAAGTTAAGTAACTGAAAAGTGTCTGTTATTTTAACTGGCTTTTTTAAATGTTATACGATCAAGATTCTCTACAATGGAAAAATATCTACGTTACTTATTTAGAAGAAGAGAGATTTATTTGTGGAATTTCTATTTAAGAGGGAGTATCTAAAGTGGCTGTAGAACTTAAGTTTCATTTGCGTCTGTGTTTAGTATCTTTTGAGAAAATTAAGCGATCAAGACGGCCCCAGATCTTTTAAGAAATTTTATATCCACAAATTTTCCTGAAAGTGAGACAAGACAATTCTGGCCATTCAAAGCTTGTCTTCCTAAACTTATAACAATTAATTATTAAGGTAGGATTCATCTCACACAGAACTGTATTTCTTGTATTTAAAAATTAATGAAATCTTTACAGAATCAAGAAGACAATATACGTAAGTTATGGTACTGTATCAGTTAGATTAGTTTTGATCGTTTTATATCACAGTCAAGGTCAGGTCAAGGTCATCGACTTTTCCTTGGACAGAATAAGGAAGAAAAAAAGTTTTGACAGTTTACTAAGAGAGTAAAAAGACTTTCTAAGAATTTTTGGCTCACATATGTACTTAGATTGGAAACTTTTAAAAGCTTACATAATTGTAGTTTGTTTGGAAAATCATATTTATTTAATGTATTTTAAAACTTTAGTCCCTCATTATTAATTTAGCTAACATTTGAAAAATCGTTGATTGTGTAAAAGTTATAAATAAATTCATTGTTTTATAATTATTTTGAGAGGCAGAAAAGAATATATTTTCACACACCACCATTCCGCTAAATATATAGTCACTTCTAGTTTTCGAAGATTGTTTACCATTTTTATCTTAAGTTGTACAATTGTGATGAGGAAGAAAAATATGGCCTTTCAAAGTTCTTTCACCTCCATACATAAGACATTTAGGCAAATATACATTGAATATTTCATCTACTCAGAAAGCAGAGAAGAATCCTACCTTAAAAACGCAATTGAGTGAAATTGTCATTTATAGATTGTTTTCAGTAGACCCAAATTAACAAGAGTTATTTCCCTTCGGCAGCCATATTGTGGGTCAACCTGCTCATATTCTTTCATAATTCAACCAACTTTAACTTTTTATACTGGCTATTGTGGTCTGGGAAGCATTGTTTTTCTGACAACTATACATTTGTTAGAGCCTCCTTTATTTCATAATGCTTATTCAATAACGATTTTTCACCAAATATTTCTGCTACACCCTCGTATATTTGGTAGGACAAAGAGGGAAAATTACCTGTTTGACCCACAAGATTACGGGAAATAACACAATATGGGTCTACTGAAAACTATCTATTATAATAACAAATGAATGAAATTGACTAAAACTAAAACATACAATACATATTACAAAAAAGTTATATAACAATTAATTGGCTGGGCTTAAATCAAAATATACAGTTTATCACAAATTGACTAGTTTAACATTTAGATTAGTCATATGACATAATATTTCCTAATCACATGATACAAGAACAGTCCAGCCAAGAGTATAATGGTAAAAAAAACTTAAGAAGCAAAAAGGTGATGTACAAAAAAGCCATTGCACCATATTAAACAAATATTTTCAATTTTTACATTCTTACTAACAACAAATTACAATGAATTAACATGTAAAATTACAAAATTGGGTGGTGGAGGGGAAGTGACGGTTGCTGTAAAATTGTGCGGCTTCTTCCCCGATAAAAAATGGCTAGAGTAAATTTACCACGAGATACGTATAACTTCATTTAATTGGTCCAAACTATAAAATCTAGCCGTCAATTGAAGGAGCATCCGAAAGGGTAATGATTAAATAAAAAAAAATACATGAGTTATGAGTTATGAAAAATTTTGCATTTAAAACAATTTATTGTACCAATAAATGTTTATTTATGTTTACCATAGAAGCTACAGTTTTTAACCTTGCAGAGGAACATGTAATCATTCACTGTATCTGTATTTACATGTAGTACACATAGCAAGGTAAATCTCCCATTTTATGGAAAAGAATTACCATAAGTCACTAAAATAATACACAGGGGATTTCAAATGTTATTTCTTCATTGAAATTTGAGAGTTGGACACAATTTTATCATGAAACTTAATTTCACGTGAATTAAAATGCATAAATATCAGATATGCGACCTGAAGAACTTTTAATCATAAATACTGTAATCGCTCATGCTCTTATGAATATATCAATCAGTCGAATGTCATCGCAGGTTTTCGGCGAATTTCCAATGATAGATTAATATTTAATCTCTTCGTGGATAAGATAACGTGTTTACATTTAGTAAATTCTCATGTCATTCTTGATTTTTAAGGTAATTGTTTTTTAATTTATGCCACCCTTGTATCTCGTGTTCTTTTTTTCCTTTCTACTAGATCCACATTATTTATTTCAGCTTCTACCTACAAGACTAGAATTGCTTTAGGCATTAGGAACTAGGCCAGTTCTGCTCACAGGAATTTCTAGGTTTTTTTTATTATTCTATATGTTTGGATGTATATTATATTGTATCTCTGAAAGTGATTAAAAGTTTGAAATAAAACTTTTCCTTCCCTAATGCGTAGTGTAATTTTCGATCAGTATTTTTTTGTAATTTTTTTCCTACACGAATGTACTGTTCAATCGTGATAATCGACAATTAAAGAACCGTACCTTGTATGATGTATATGACCGTAAAAACAAGATTCATGAGATTTAAAATTTTAACATTAAGGATATTTAACACATTTTTCTTCCAAAATCCATAACATTTATCTTTGCTTAAAAACCCTTACGAAATTTAAATGCAATGATATGTGTTTATATCTACAAAACTTTATGCTAGATAAAGTCACACTTCTTGGAGAATATTGAAAAAATGTAACTTAACTGTTCCATATAGTTTTTGATTTTTTAAGCATAAGAACATAATAACTGTTAAATAGCTGTTAAAATATAATATTTTTTTTTACCAAGGAGTCTGTGGGAATAATTTAAGAGTCTTCTTTTATATTATACTAAATCAACATTTCCTGAATCGGAAAAATTCTATGTAATTTATGCCTTGAAATTGCATTGTGTTCGCCAACTCCATGGACGTGCAATGAGCACGGTGAGATGTCCGTGTTGTCGCTTAGTAATCGCAGTCACAAAATTTTAATTTCTCTTTAAGGGGGAGCGAGCACCGAGAATACCTAGTCTAGCTGCAGAACTGTAGTTTCCCAAAGAAAAAAATACTCCTTTGACAGATCGGAATGAATCTTATTTTTTCATTCTTTATCTGTAGATCTGCAGATACATGTAGTTGTGTCCCTTCTGCATCCGTGCTTACTAGTGTCTTCATAGAAGACAATGCGATCGAATTGGTCCAGCGCTTTAAGAGTTTTTACTGTTTCCATTAAAAAAACCTTTTTTTTTAACCTAGCAGAAGTAAATGCTCACTGTATCTGTATTTAATAAATATAGAAAATTAAATATCCTATTTTATGAATAAAGAATTGCCATTAGTCACTTAAATAATACAAATCATGCGGTAGAGAATTTAAAATATTTTTTTTTTCTTTGTTGAAATACGATTTGAGATTGGACAAAATGTGATCATGAAACTTAATTTCACGTTCATGTTTATTAAAATGCTCGAATATCAGATATGCGTCCTACATAACTTTTTATCAAACATACTGGTACTCGCTTATGCTGGATAAGATGACTTAGTCATTGTAGGTTTTCAGAGAATTTCCTATGACAGATTAATATCTAATCTCCTTGTGGATAAAATAACGTGTTAACATTAAGTACAGTTATTCCTGATTTTTTAGCGAAGAAGGTGAGGTCATTTTCCTTCAAGTCATATTATTATTTTCTTTTTTATCCTTTCTATCAAACCTTCATAATTTATTTCAGCTTCTGTCTACAAGACTGGGATTGTAATAGGCATTTTGGGCACAGGTATTTCTATTTTGTTTCTATCTGACTGCATTTATAATACCTCTGAAAGTCTTTGAAAGATTAACTTTTAACTTTACTCTTTTTTTTCTTCTCATGTACGTAATGTTATTTGCAGAGATTTTTTATCTTTCTATCTTTACGCAGATTTGCAAAACTTCAGAAGAAGAATTCGTTAGGTCCTGATACCTGTTTAGCTTCACATATTTATAGAAAGCTAGTTTGTAACAATTAAGAAAATGTCAACAAAAGTTCAATACAGTTCTTGAATTTGAAAAAAAAAAATTGAACAGTGTAGCTTTTGAAATATAATAAAGTATATTCTTATTAAGAGAAAAAAAACCAGTTTCTGTATCGGTAAAAAAAATTGTTAAAATTTTCTGGAATTCTCTTGAAGAGAGGCTCGTCTTGAAACAAAATTGTGATTTTCCAGGGGGAAAAAATTCCATTTGGCGGACGGGAGTCAATCTTAATTCATACTTTTGTATTTTCCCTCTAAGCTATTGTTTTCGTGTATAAAACCTAGCAGAACTAAATGCTCCCCGTTTCTGCATTATGTACAAAAACCACTTACAATAGGTAAATGGTTTGCAAAGTTCTTTTTCAAAATACTATGTGAGACTTGTACAGAATTTGATCATAAAGCATAAATACTAAGATCAAAGTATTGTAGATATATATTAAGAGTATAATGGACAAACATTAGATATTTAACATAGTTAATTTTGATTTTAAAAACCGGTCTCCATTATCTGATTCTACTTCACATCTAAAACTAATTTTTCCTGTTTTTGGTCAAATCAGTCAAAGTCATTGCAGGTTTTCGGAGAATTCCCCATGACAGATACTATCTTTGTAGATAAGATAAAGGGTTTACATTAATAAATTCAAAACTTATTATTCATTTTTGAGCGAGAGGAAATGCAATTTTTATTTCACGTCACCCTATAGATGAAATCCTTCGCATATTAATCTATAGAGAAAGATGAATCGTTTAGCAAAAGATAAATAATGTTTATGATGATATTTACTGGGTTATTCCTCACATTACTTTGTTTATAGTATGCACATGTATAACATTAGGCGTATACACTGTAGATTTAAAACTGGTTTTTAATTAATCAACAACAGCATATCCCGTAGATACTATTATATGGAAGAGATCATGGATTAAATAAGGATATGGAGATAACGAACAGTATTCAATCTCAAAGTCCATTAAACAATATACAAAATAAGAACAGAGCAAACATGGACCTCCAAAACATCAGAGGTGGGATCAGGTGCCATGGAGGAGTGAGCATCCCGTACTGACCGGTCACATCCGCCGTGTGCTCGTTGGCATGATTAGGAAATACCGGAAAAAAATCCGTCGTCAATTCAGTGTATAAATAATGGACTAATAATTGGTATGAAAAACGTCATTCAGCATTTGACTCAATGATAAATTGTATTTGCTGACAAGGTCATTGTATTGACAATAGAACTTAGAAAATGATGACTTTAAACGAGACTGCTGATACTCTTGTTTCATCAACTTGTTTGTCAATAATTTACCTCGTTTAAGAAATTGTTCATACGTAGAGCATGCTCTTGCGTATCGAATCAACTGAGATATATATACTCCGTATGCAGGTGATGAAGGTATATTGCTGCATAAGAAAGGGAAGTTGACGATAGAAAAGTTAAAGTCATCACGTTTATCATATAGCTTGGTTGTTAGATTACCATTAGTGTCTTTTTCAAGTAAAATATCCAAATATGAAGCGGAAGTGTCGGACTCTGTGGTATCTTTTATTTCAAGCTCACCAGGATATATGGTAGGAATGGAAATTATCATCATTAATTGACAATACGTCGTCAATTTATCTAAATGTTGAGTTGAAGGCCACAGCAAGTGTTTTCTTCTTTTCACGCATGAGACTTTGCATAAATTCTGGTTCATATGAATATAAAAATAAGACTTCTAATAACGGGGCGCAATTTGTACCCATTGGAATTCCAATAGATTGTTGGAATACCTGGTCTCCAAAAACCACATAGATATTGTCAATCTGAAGCTCAATGCCAGAATGAGCGAGCTTTCCACATGCACAGTCCATGGAGCTACCAGGGGCCCGTTTTACAAAAGAACTTACGACTAAGATCAAAAACTTAAGATGATTGTAAAATTTTGCAAAATTTATAATTCTCTTTAAAATTGTTTGTGTAAAAATATATTACCACATTCCTTTTAAAAAGTTTAAAATAATTTTTGATATAATGTTAATTTAAAAAGTTATATGAAGAATTAAATTTGGTCTTAGGTCGTAAGTCCATTTGCAAAACGGTCCCCAGAAACTCAAGTATCTTCTTGATGTCAACTTCAGAGTACTTGTGTGTCCAATCAGAATCGGTTTTACAAAATAATTTTGCGAATGACCAATGACGAGGTAAGTAAATTTACGAGTTCCATTTTTATTGAAGAAGCAGCTGTCAATAATATCAAAAAGCCTGGATTTTAATTTGTCGTGGGGAATTGTTGTGTATAAAGTTGAATAGTCGTACGTTTTTAAGCTGTTGATTTTTGTCAAGTCTTGTTTTTAAAAATTGTCCAAAAGTTCTTTAGAATTTTTGAGTATCCACATCTGATTCACACCACTTCTTGATTATATAGTTGCACAGTACTCTTGAAGTTTTTCCTTCACTGCTGTCAATATCTTAGTAAGGAGTAATGAAAGAGGCTTGGTTAAACATTTACTGGAACCTGCAATGTATCTTTGTTTGTTAGGATTCTTATGAAGTTTCGGAATCCAATATATATAAGGTAGTTCAAATTCATTTTGGCCCTGTGGAATATTAAAAATATTGAAAACTGAAATATGATTTTGAAGAATTTTTTCCTTAGAAAGGGAAGTATGAGTATAAGCAGGATTACCACTTGTAGAATTAAATCCAAGTTCTTCTAGAATGCTTCCCCAAAAATATTGCGGATTGAATGAACCAAAATTTTAATATGCGGCTTCTTGCAATTCATTTCTGAAATTATGTTTAAACATATTTAATTTTAAGAACACTTTTCTGACAAATACTGCAGCAATCTAGTGAGATTAAAGATTTGTTATTATTTCCTTGTCAGTATGTGTTTGGGATAACACTGTTCAAGGTAAATCAATTTTGAAAATCTAGAGAATTCATAATTTTTCTCCTGATAAATCAAAGCAAAATTATCAAATCATTGCAACTTAAAACTACATTGGAATTCACAAAACAATTAGTCTGAATTATCTGAGGTTTTCCAGGCTTTTTCACGATGGTATTTTACGTGCCATGAAAACGTCAGAACTAGTGCCATTATAAAAATGTGGAATTCGTCGTCTCCAACCGATGCGAACCGAATTAAATGCCGAAATTACAATTAATCAATAGCACAATTCTTCTAGTTCTCACCAATATCCTGAAAAGAAACCGTCACTCCAAATTTCGACATACATGTAGATCTTTCAAGATTTTTAAACGCACGAAATAAAAACAAAACTCGACGGTATGGTACAATATTTTCATCGGACTGTACATTTTATAAATTAACGATAAAAACGTTATTGGAGAGGTATTTTTCTAATGACAAGTTTTAGATTTGGCATTTAATTCGGTTCACAAATATAAAAAAAAAAATCAATCAGAGAAATCGCTGCCGCCAGGAAGAGAAGCATTCCCAGTTTTCGTATTGGCAACGGTTCTGACGTTTCCCTGGAATGTAAAATATCAAAAGTATTAAAAAAATTAAAAATGGCAGATATTTTGGACTTTATAGCAATTAATTTAAAATGATTACAAATAATTCGTTTTACCGTATAAGTAGACTTTTTAGCGAGTATTTGATTTTGTAATTGTTAGCGAGGGTGCCGAGAACCCCCAAATGCAAACTGAGTATCGTTAAAAATTAATTGCGTTTTATTTCTTATAGCTACTTTAAGGATACACCAAAGGTTTCCAATGGGCAAAATTTAATTTGCTTGTAATTCTGTCATTAACAAAGATAACATATTAAAAGTATATATCATTTGAAAGCTTATTAAATTCACTATTTAATGATCTTAATTTAAATTTTCATTTTTATCTTATTAAAAACATATTTATATTTTAATGTAAATATTAGTGCATTCATATTTTATTAATCAACTTTTTTGTACTCCACCTCTCAAAATCAAAACTTTGCCTCAATGTAGATTAAAGTTTGAACTTTAAAATCGTATCTCAGATTTTTGATAGATCTTCTTATTCAAAAGTTACATCCATTTGTCTTTCAATGTTACCATTTTATTAGCCCAATTCTGCATTTCCCCCAACAATTCGAGAACTGAGCAAGATATCAAAAATCTGAGATACAGTTTTGTGAACACACATTTGAGATGCATTCTGGCCAGTTTTCAGAGAAATAAGGGAGCTGAATCCTTTCAAATAATACCACCAACTGTCTGATCTTACTTTACAGTAGAGGGCAAAAACCCATTACACAACAAAGTCTGCCAAAGCTGAAAATATATGACACCCTAGAGATTCAGCTTTGGATACCTGTCACATATTTCCTATGCATATAATCACAAGAATGGGAGGTTCTATTCCTACTCTTTATTTAGGTGCTTTTAATGAAGTAAAATAGGTTCAGTTCTGAATCAGAAAGATTTCCCGGCAAAATGGCAAGAGCTAAGCTCCACCTCCTATCTCATGGTCATTAGTGACCTGTTAGATCTCCTTCCCTAAATCTAGAGTCCCTGTAGTTTAATTACTGATAACCTCTGTGTGGCTAGTGAAGAATTCCCCAAGTGGCCACAGTGATTTATTGCTCCTTTCAGAAGCAGGCAGTTACAGACCAACTCAGAAGCTTCAATAACGGCACATTCACATGTGTTAGTGTTTATGTTTGATTATTGTTAAATAATTAGAAAACCATTTAATATTCAGCAAGATTTTTTTCATGCATTATAAAGCAGTGATTAGCATTGTTTTCTTAGCCAAAAATCTCAAAATTGACAAAAATCTTGAAAAAAGCCTTTGGTGTATCCTTAATGTGCATTTTAAAATAGCGAAATTAACATCTCGCTAAAAATAAATGATACCAGTTTTAAGGACAAATCACTAAATTTGCGTCTCGTTAAAATGTCTACTTATACGCTATGTAAATAAAAAGCACTGACTTAATTGTGTGTAGGATCATTTTTCACCCTAAATTTTTGTCTATATATGTAGCTAGAGTCTGCACATTTTGTAAATTGATGTAATAGTGTAGAACAAGTGATGAAATGGCCGCCTATTATATACAGTGTCAAAATGGCTGTGGGTTATGATTATAATGGCCGCTGACCGCGTTACACAGGTGGCCATTTATTCCAGTTAAAATATAGGAAAAATCGTCGGGGGAAACTGAAAGTGGCTGCTGATCGCGAGTGGCTGTTAATTTCGGGTGGCCGTGAGGACAACTTTGACTTCTGGTAGAATCAAAAGTTTTGATCAGATAGAAGACAGATGTGTTTGGAGTTAGATGTCAGGAATTCAGGGCACTTAATTTTCATTCTGTCCGTCCGTCTGTCTGTGTGTGCAGCATTGTCCTGAAATTAACAATTTAAGGTCAGACGAGAAGTTCCTCAAAATCTGTTTAGTATATCTTCGTAATGTATGACAAATATTCAAAATTTTAATTACATTCTGATTTCTTAACCAGTTTCTAAACTTTTTTTTAAAAAATCAAAACACTTAAACATTTGAAATTGGAAAAAATATTTTTCTTCCCCAAAGGATTATATAAGAAAAACTACCCCTGGTATCTTGCAGATTTGCCTGGTAGGTTACCTCAATTATTTGTGAGTAAACATGTTTAAGTAGCAATATGCCAATGACAAACTCTTAGAAAAAATTACCTATTATTAAGAAACGTCTCGCCTGTCCTTTAATTTGTCCATAATTGTTTTAGTAAAAGTGACTTTCGTTTCCACTTTTAACAGATATTTTTTAAGCATTTAAACTTTCCCTTACGCCATAACTTTTCAACAGTTGATGGTAGGGCTTTTAAACTTCATATAATTATTCATTCTGATAAACAAACAATTGGTATAAATAATTTTGACTACTTGAACTTCGAGTTTGACCAAGTTTGAACAAACCTTTAATCTTGGCCATAATTTTTAAAAACATAAAGTAATAATGATTTCATATTCCACGTGTGTATTCCAAATAATTTTAATTCAATATCGACTTTTTCGACATTTTGACATAGAGTCTTTACTCGCATTTGAAATATTTTAACATTCGCCATAGGCTGCTATACGGGGACATCAGTGTTTCACAATTAACACATCTTGTTTTAAATTTATCTCTGATAAAGATGTTTTTTTATCTTAGTGAAATCAGATGTTTTGAATTAATTATAATTTGATGGAGAAAGATTGTACATGTATAATTATTTTGACTAAGTTTAACATAGAACCTTTTTTTTATGCAGATCAGACATAATGAAACTTCTGGTGGCAATTACTTGTGTTTTAGCAGTAAGTATTATTGGTATTTAAGCACAGATTCATTTATTTTATTAGAATATTTTAAACATATATATATATATATATATATATATATATATATATATATATATATATATATATATATATATATATATATATATATATATATATATATATATACAAAATCTATCTTTAAATATAATATGAAAGAAATTGAACCACACATTTTTTACCAATTAGTTTGAAATATGCCCCATCAGACCGGCGTAAGAAGATTGTAAATCAGTGTAAAATCAGACATTCGACTTGAGAATGAGTCTTATTTCAACATTATTAATTGATCTATTGCAAATTTGTGTAATAATGTTTAATATGAAGACAACATATTGCTACTTAAATTCAGCAAATTATATTGATACTCTGGTGTCGGAAAAAAATCGCATGTAAATATCATACACTTTAAGTTTTCTTAAGAAAAAAAACGTATCATTCAACTTTTACAAAAAATCAACAGATTAATTCAAATGGTTCTAGAATTATATGTGTAAAAATGAAGTTTGAAGCAGTGGTTTCAGACATTTTGGCGATAAAAATCAATGGCAAAAAAAAAACCCTCATAGATACATGTACGGTAGATGGTATCACAATATTTAATTTTGGCCTTTTGATATAAACTTTATAGCACATAAAGAATGGACACTCCTTATATATCTGTCTAAATATTAGCCCTGTACTATTTATGAAACAAAAGTTAAAATGCATTTAATAACAGACTGTTACATGTTATTTATTGCACTTAAATAGCGCAAATACATTTTAAAATGTAAGCTTACAAATGACCAATATATAAAATTTTCTGGGTTTTTTTTCCACAAAATATGGGGGAAAATGAATTGCCTTATTATTTTTCTTACAAGAATTATTCATTGTTGTCAAGAATAGTAAAAAAAATTTTCTCCTGCACTTTTTCAAGGAAATTAGTTCAAATAGAATCCATCGATGTTTTGTACATGTACTACCTTAAAAGGCAATGATTAAATGGCAGATAATGTATTTGTCCTTTTTGTCTTATATAAATTGCTAGCTAATTAATGATGTCCATTAGCCATAACACCCACCTGACTCACTTTTGCTCTAATGTTCTTGAACTGTAAACGTTTTCAAAATGTTTCCAATTTTAAACTTTGATTGCCCATTAGGTCCCATCCTACTCACGATATTAGGAATTGATCAACTGAATGTTTCTGAAGGCTTATTAAAAGTGAGTCTATAAATGTTTTTTTATATATATATAATTTTCATTATGATTCCTTCAGATGGCTGAATTTTGAAAATGATTTTGGAACAAGAGGCCCAGAGGCCCATGGGCTATATCGCTCACCTGTGCTCGTTCCCTAGGCAAAATAATATTTACACGGGGAAAGCTTTAATTATAAACTACCCGATGATGTTTTCATGTCATTTTAATAACGGAATTTATTGTAATTGAGATTTTTATTTTAAAACATCTGCTACATGTATAATTTCTATTAATGTCCTTGTGTAACATTTTATATTTCCCATTGTTGTCCGACCATATCCCTGGGGGTAATCAATTTTAATCTAGACTACCTGGGAATGCTTCCATATCAAAATGACTAATCATGAATTTGCATTTTTGCAAAGAAGATATTTTCCTTAGGCTACTGATTCTGATTTATAGACTTTGATCTACAATTATGACCCCACCCTTCCCAGAATAATCATTATTTCTACATTTAAAAAAAATATACTACTTAATATAACCAATCTGGGTTTTTCTTTGCCTGAGAAGAAATTTTTTTTCAAGAATTTTCCTATATATTTATTTTTATGTAAAACTTCCGATCCCCCATTGTGGTCACATCCTTGCCCTGGGGGTTATGAGTTTAACAAACTTGAATCTACACTATCTGAAGATGTTTCCAAATAAATATTTTGAGACGCAGAATATTGGGAGGAATTTTAAAGATTTTTCCTAGTTTGTCCTATTTTAAAATTTGTTCGTCCAAAATGTTCCTATCCTACATGTACCCTCGGGGTTGAACAAACTTGAATCTACACTATCTGAGGATGTTTCCAAATGAGTTTCATCCTTCTGAGAGGAGGTATTTAAAAAATTCTACTTTTTTTCTCTAATTTCGTTAATTAATTTTTAATCTCCGCTTGAAAGAGAGAATACACTCAGGCAGGAAAAAAGCATGTTCGATGTACGTTGCTTGTAAACCCCATTGCTTACAGAAACATTAACTATGTATATTACAATACGATTTATAGTTTCTTCTATAAAGGAAATGATAATGCTAAGAAAATGTTTAAAATGCGCTGATACAGTGTATTCATGAAACGATTTATATGCATTTTTATTTGTTTAACATTATAAAATAATGACGATACGTACACGTGTCAATTACACAGACCACTACATACTAGTATACAACTGAGTGGTTATAAAAAATCATGAAGAACATCATAAAACTCATAATGATGTTTAATGACGCTTCTGTAGTATAACTAATTGACACTTAAAGAGGGAACAACCATGATGACTGTACAAAAGATTAACCTTATTATTGATTTATAGAAAAAATTCTAGCAAAATAAGAAATACAAAAAATCAAGAAGAAAATATACATATATGCAAATATATTTAAATAAAGATAATCACTTATAACATAAAGAATTCACACATATTTTCCTCAGTGTTTACTACTTTTTTTGTAATACATGTATATAAAACATTTCTTTAAAAAAAGTTAGCAGAGAAATTAATACTTCCTTTTAATTAACAATAAAGGAAGATTTAAATTGAATTTATTTTGAATCAGATCATGCAACATTTTTATATGTGGTTATCATCTATAAAAATATGGCATAGTTAAAGCATAGTTAAAGCAGTCTGTAATTATATTATCATTAGTATCAGCTGTTCGCATTGGCTCATCAGGGATGGGGAAACGCATCTTTAAAAAGAATTCGTTTTGAATTATGAAAGAATGTCAAAATGTTTTATGAATTTTGATATAGAGTACTGTTCGTTATCTCCATACATGCATATCCTTTAATAACATTTTGATCGCATTCATGAATAAATGTTAAGATTCTCTATATTGTCCTGCTTAGTGATTTTTTGAATAACATCATATGAGTGGACAATGACGTTTTTGTTAAAATAAATGGTTTCTATATGCATCTATTGTATACCAAAATATTTCTCATAAAAAATAAGTCAGAATGATTTAATTTTTATTGATGAAACTCAATATTTTGATAAAAATCGGGGTCTTTAAAGATAGCAGATTGTGCGCACGGACCAGTCTGACGTTACGCTAATTTCATTATAACGTCAAACATTTGGATTTTGACTTAACACATGTTCATGGACACACACTACATTTCTTTTTTAGGGCGCAACGCACTTCAAAGTGCTAGCAATAATCTTTAAGTATAGATTATAATATATTTAATTTTTAAAGTTCAAAACAATACACACAAATTTACGAGCGTCATCTAAATTAACAGTTTGTATACCCAAACTGAACAACCCAGTCCGACGCTGCGCTAGATTTATAACAACGTCATGAATAGAAATCTCCATTTACAGTTAATTACATGTGTTTTTAAATTCGTGTAGTGTCTTCGAATTTGTACACAATGTTGAAAAATCGTATATACGAATCCCAAATCGATACATTCAATATATTTCAATAATTTTGAGTTGTTTTAACAGATATTTTGTCTCTTACATTGTTTCAACTGTTATAAAACTTAATTTTTTGACCAGACGCTGCCCCGTGCCGAAGGACGACGTCACTTTTTCTGTTGAGTATTGACACGTACTTGTTAAGGTTTTCTTTGTGTATTTTCGTTGTCTATATAGTAAACAATATTTAAGATATCATAAAATGATAATAACCTCTTTATTTGTGATACATAAAATTTTTAGAAATTTTTTACTTGTTTTATTTAGAAAATAATCATTTTAATCCGAACTCTTTATATCAGAGTTTACATCATTTTAACCTTGGTCCGTGCACACAATCCGCGACCTCTAAAGACCCCGATTTTTTACAAAAATATTACGTTCCATCAATAAAAACTAAATTATTCTGACTTGTTTTTTCACAAGAAATATTTTGATATACAACAGATTTATATAGAACCATTTATTTTCACAAAAACGTCATTGTCCACGAACTTTTTGGACAACCCTCGTAAATAAGTTACCATTTTTATTTTAGTAATAAAGAAACATATTTTTTACAATTATTCATACTTTCTTTTTCCTTTTCCTGTTTTTTAGATCTCCGGTCTTGTTCTTGCTGACTGGATGCATCCTCATTATAGTTTCAGTATGTCATATTTATGTACATGCAATTTTGTAAGTTTTTGTAAAGTAAATTTGAAGAACATACAATGTAAGTAGAATATGAATAACAGAAAAAAGTTCTTTGCAATAAATTGCTCAAAATCATATTTTCATACCCAGGATGTCGTGAGAGTGTAGGAATAGACATTTTTGGAATCCACATTAATAGCAGAGTTACCATTTTGAATGCGACGTGCAATAATACTCTGCTTCAACAACATAATGGAATTTTTAATATTTCCTATGCTTGTACCAAAGAAGTGAAGGAGGTATGATTTCCGTCATGAAATGTTTTATCTATTAATTTTAATGAGATCATATTATTTTTAAATTGAAAAATAGAAAAAAAATAATAATTGAGTTTATTTGTAATGGCGTGCCCAGACGAGGTAAGTTGTGTGGCAATCTGACTAAAGCCAGACCTATGTTAAGAGGTCTGGGGCTCGTAACATAAAGCTTGCTAAGATTTTGACTTAAATAGGGTCGTACAGAGTGTAAGTAGGACTTAGGCACATTCTTTGGACCAGGTCCCAGTATCATGAAACAAACTTAGACTTAGGTCAAATTTTCAATCACCTGTAAAATGTTTATTATCTATTTCATTAGTCTCAAAATTTGCAAATAAAAACACTTTTTAAAACAATATTGAAGGACACTTTTATTTTGATGTGCTTGACCAATTTAGTACATTTTAAATATTTCGACTTAAGCTTATGATGTTTCATGAACCCGAGGCTCATGGGGTCGTAACATAAAGTCTACTTAAGTCTAAGGCCGTGCTTAAGTAGTACTTAAGTACAGTCTAGAACTTAAGACCGTTACTAGAAGCGTACTTAGATTTGGCAATCTTAGCAAAAGTTAGGCGGCCGGTAGATGTGTCTTAAGTATATCTTAACTTTCTTGTACATATATTTAGAATTACTTAATGTTGACTTTCGATGTGAAAACATCCCTTTATTCATGTCAACTGATTCCAATTTCACTCACAACAAAGCAAACATGTAAATACAAAATTTAATTTTAGGGATTTGTCTGAAATTAGAACGAACTCGGTTATAGAAATAAATTGAACATATAGTTAAAAACCATGGATCTATATGTTCACTTTGAAATATGAGTTTAAATAATTTGTTAAATACAGTCTTAAAGAAAGAAGATGATGACTATAACAGTAATAAAAAGTACTAGTATCTGTAAAGTAGAATAAATGTAGAACGCGACAAGCGCGGATCTAGACAGGGTTCACTACAGAGAGAGAGAAATGGAGAGAGAGAGTGAGAGAGAATTGCTGATAAGTGGTGGCATACGAAAAAATATCCCGATTTTTACTTTACATTTTTTACTTCTGACGGCGCGGATTCAAAATGTATTGAACTTTTTAGAGTTCCAATTTCAAGTGAATAGGTCGTCGATTATATTTTCTTGTCTGCGGTAATAACAGGGTAAGTGAACATTTCTCAAAGCAAAAGAGTTACAAAAGGAAAACTGAAAACATCTCAGGTGATAAAACAATTGTCGTGAACATTTACAATGAATCACAAATTGCCAATTTTTAACCGTGCGACAATTGTTTTCAAACATTTAATAATAAATGCTACATAAACTGATTTAATTGTTTTTAAAAGATATGAAGAAGGGTAATAGAGTAAAATAAGATTCCATCTATTTTAGGGTGTTGCTAAAACGCGGAACAGAAACGGAACGGAAAGCGGAACGGAACGGAAAACGGAATAAATTAGTTTAGATTAAATCACTTAAAATACACTAATTTTGTCATGAATAGTATATTTCAAACACATTCATTTCCGTATTATAAAAAAAATGAGATGATATATTCATGTTCACAATTCTTTATTGACAAACAAGTTGATGAATCAAGAATATCAGGAGTGTTGCAACCACTATTGAAATAACGACCACTATTGAAATAATTATATCAATAGTGGTTGTGAATGCATTTCAATAACAAACATAGTTAGTAACCACCATTGAAATAAGGCCACTATTGAAATAATTATTTCAATAGTGGGTGAGAGGGCATTTCAATATAATAACCATAGGTTTTAACCACTATTGAAATACGACAACTATTGAAATAATATTTCAATATTGGATGAGTGGGCATTTCAGTATAATACCATAGGTTTCAACCAATATTGAAAAACGAGCACTATTGAAATAATTATTTAATAGTGGGTGAGAGTGCATTTTAATATTATACATGTAACCATGGTTTCAACGACTTTTGAAATACTACCAGTTTTGAAAGAAAAGTTTCACCGCGTCAGCAACTTTTGAAATAATTAATTATTTCAATTTAAATTGGATTTATTTTTCAAAGCACTATTGAAATCAATAATTTAATCCATATTGAAATCTTTATTTCAAAAGTGGACATTATTTCAATAGTGGTTACAACATACATTGTATGTTTGCTATTGAAATGAATCTCACCCATTATTAAAATAATTATTTCAATAGTGGTCGTATTTCAATAGTGGTTACTAACAATGTTTGCTATTGAAATGAACTCCCAACCACTACTGATATGATTATTTCAATAGTGGTCGTATTTCAATAGTGGTTATTACCCATCTTTGTTATTGAAATGCACGCTCGACCACTATTGATATAATTAATTCAATAGTGGTTGTATTTCAATAGTGGTTATTACGTATGTTTGTTATTGAAATGTACTCTCAACCACTATTGATATAATTATTTCAATAGTGGTTGTATTTCAATAGTGGTTACTACCAATGTTTTCTATTGAAATGCACTCTCAACCACTATTGATATAATTATTTCAATAGTGGTCGTTATTTCAATAGCGGTTGCAACACAGCAGTCTCGTTTAATTAAAGATATCATTTCTACGATGACCATGTCAGCAAATACAACTTATCATTGAGTCAAATGCGGACTGACGTTTCCATACTAACTGTTAGTTCATTTTTTATACACCGCTGAATTGACGACGGATTTTCCAGTTATTTCCCGATCATGACAAGGAGCACGCTGCGGGTGTGTTTGATTGGCAGCGGATGCTCACTCCTCCATGGTACCTGATCCCACCTCTGATGTATTGGAGGTCCGTGTTTGCTCTGCTTCTAGTTTTGTATTGTATTATGGACTCTTGATATCGGATACTGTTCATTATCTCCATATCATTCATGAAAATTGCTGACGTAGCAGTGGCATAGAATTGTATTTGAAAGTGTGTGTGTGTGTGGGAGGAGGGGGGGGGTACATTTATCTGAAGAGAATATTACAAGCAAAAACAAAACACAAATACATTATTCAAGAGGGGGAATCAGTTCCCTATCCAATGCATGTCTTTCAATACTTTTTGTACATTTACTTACTACTTTAATTAAGAAATTGTGGAGATTTCAATAAACAATTCTATAGTAAAAAAAAGGTTGTGCCTGGAAAGGGTGGTGCAAATATTTGATATAAAATTGATTGATTGAATATTGTTGAACGCCGAGTCGGCAATTTTTCAGCCATGTTTCGTCGGTGTATATATGTATACACAAACCATGTTTAAGGAGAAATAATATGTTTCTAAAAATTCCTAAGATTAGGATTAGAGCAGACCTGTCCGGCAAGCTCGGATAAACACCTCTAACTTGTAAAGTTTATTTGTTGTTTGAACTTATCTATGTAAAAAATGTAGCATCTTCACATTAAATGAAGATATAGTTTGCATGTGGCACATGCATGTGTGCGTGTGTTAGGGGGAGGGCAGGGTGGATATGAATGCTGAAACATTTGAGTTTATTTTTCCGTTTTTTTTTTTGAAAGGTCTGAAAAATTGCAAAAGGTTCGCCCTTCCCCTTTTGACATAAGCTCCAAACCTTTTACTTGAAACTGAAGTGTTCATTGCAATTTATGTAGTAAATTTGTGTTAAAAAGTACTGAAAGATGTTGGACTTAGATCAAACCCCCACTTCTTCAAACAAAAATTCTCTGTATTTTTCGCTTGTCAAACTCTTTCAAGCATAGACCTAAAATACTTTAGGTCTGTGTCTCAAGTAAGTTTACCTCCCCCCCCCCCCTTTCGAATTTGATAATATTCTACGTGACTGTTAGTCGGCGATTTTAGTGATTAAGAGACTGAACATGACTTAACAACCTGTTTTTTAAAATATGGGATTTAATATGAATATAATATATTCTTTATGATAAAAATTATGTATTTTAAGCGATATAATATAAAATAATATGTTCCGTTTTCCGTTCCGTTCCGCTTTCCGTTCCGTGTTTTAGCAACATCCTCTATTTTATGGTATGAAATAAAAAGAGAGAGAGAAGGGAGGTATAACAAATATTTTAAGATTGGAAAACATTGAGCATTTTTCTATCTTTCTTGTTAACAATATCGCATTTAAAAAGATTCATTTCATATGTAGGACAATCAATGTCAAAATGGATAATGAAATAAATAACTGATGTCTTCGAGTACGCAGGTCTTTAACAGCGCTTTAAAGAAAACATTACATGTATTTACATGTATTTATTTATTTACTTACTTATATTTAGGGATGGGGTGTGCTAATTTTTCACAATGTAAATTACCCTTTTATCTTTTATTTTAATAGGCATAGGGGTTATTAACACATATCTTTTTAAAAGTAAATTCTTGAAGTACAACCCACGAAGACTCAATAAAGTGACGTAGCATTGTTTTTAAAAGCGGGAGAAAGGGGAGGGGGTCAGCCGGAGAAATAAAAATAATTCAAGTTAGCTGAAAAAAGTGGACAAAGCAAAAAACATTGAGCATTTTCAATAGTAAAAGTTATGTTTAGGAAAAGGGGGAGGGTGTTACTACGCGCGTGTAATGTCTGCTCAGAAAATCGTATGTCTATTCCTGATACCTATCTTTTATATAGTACAGTTAAAGACAGTGAATATCAGCCATTTTATATATGCCATAGTTTATAACAATTGATACAATGGAATGATAAAAGTATTTCAATAATAAACGCATCTCTCTCTCTCTTTCTCTCTCTCTTTCTCTCTCTCTCTCCATCTCTCTCTCTCTCATTGTAAACTACTGAAGTATTGACATGACTTCGAAATTCCTTTAATTAATGTAGGGATAAATCTAGTTAATAAGTAAACGAAATCTAAACAAGCTTGAAATTCAACCATACCTCATTTTTTTCCCAATTCCAAGAATCTTTGTTCTTTTTCAACTCTTTGGGGTTCCACGTCGCATCTTACAAACTCACAAACTCTATCAGATCTCTGTAGAGGCAATATGTTGAAATTAGATATTCATCGTCCTCTGATTCTCCAAGATTCACTCCGTATAGAATGACCTTTGTTCTCAAATGTACATATAAGGCCGCCATACTCGTACAATTGTTAAATTATAGTTAGCAGTGTTTATGACGTTTTAGCATCAATCCCAACCAAATAAACTTATGAATGTGTGTACCACAGTTTTATTTTGTACGATTAATAATATTTATCAATATTAAGCTAATGAACAAATTATTTAAGTTACATGTATATACCTTGATTCAATGTAACTTATATATTAATCTTTTTATTGAAAATTGAATTCTCATGAATGTTTAATGCTGGGGTTTAACAATATCTTATTATACATATTTTTATATGGTACTTAAGGTAGGATTCTTCTCACACAAAACTGTATTTTTGTATTTAAAAATTAAGGAAATTTTCACAGAACAATGAAAACAATATGACTAATTAATTGTATTAGTTATATTAGTTTTGACCGTTTTATATTAGAGTCAAGGTCAGGTCAAGGTCATAACCTTTTCCCTTGTCATTAAGAATAAAAATTATAGCATCCAATCATGATAAAGCATCTTCTATTTCAAAAGATTAAATGTTTTTCTTTTTGTACAACAAAATATTACCATATAGGGTCTATAAGATGATATTACCAAATTGACACAAATAGTTTAACAAAAAGGAATTTTGGTTGATTAGAATTTTCTCCGTTTTTCTTAATTTTTTAGGATATTTAAGTTATTTTCATATGCGCCCTATATTTAACTTTTTCTTATTTTCACATATGGTAAAGCAGTCATATAGAGATACAAAATGATGCAAAAACAAAAAGTTTTGCCCTTTTAGTAAGAGAGTAAAAACACTTTCTATGGATTTTTGGCTCAAATCTGTACTTAGAGTCGAAACTTTTAAAAGCTAACATAATTGTGGTTTGTTTGGAAATTCATATTTATCTGATATAATTTAAAACTTTAGTTCCTTATTATTAATTTAGCTAACAATTGAAAAATTCTTCTTCTCTTTGTGTAAAGATTATAACTAAATTCATAGTTCTATAATAATTTTGAGAGGCAGAAAAGAAGATATATTCATACGCCACCATTCCGCCAAAAATATGGTCCCTGCTAGTTTTCAAACACAATTGACCATTTCTATTTAAAGTTGTACAATTATGATGAGGAAAGAAAAAATGTGGTCTTTAAAATCTCTTTCACCTAAATATATAAGACATATAAGAAAATATACATAAAATATTTCATCTACTCAGAAACCAGAGAAGAATCCTACCTTAAGACATACTTATCTCACCTCTACCGGCCGCCGAAGCCTTGCTTAAATTGTAAAATCTTAGCACTCCTCTAGTTACGGACTTAAGCCTAAGAATGTACTTAAGTCTTACTTAAGCATAGTCTTAGACTTAAGTACCCTTTATGTTACGAGACCTTGACTTAAGTCAGATTGATTTTGTGGAAGATGCAAATGTTAGGGGTGCATATACTGTAAAATAACATATTTTCGTGGGGTCATACTTTTGTGGCTTATGTAAAAACGTTTAATTTGTGAGGATTTAAATTCGTGGATGAAGACTTGTTGGGAGGTATGTATGTAACATTTTACATTTGGTGGTGGAAATGCATTCATGAGTCTCTTCATACCTCGAAAACAACGAAAATTACATTTCTCAGATTTACCTCAGGTTTATGGAGACAGTACAGTGAATGAAATACCTAGTTAATTTAGCTAGTGCGATTCTTAAAGCGTTCGTCGTGATAAGTAATCTTTCTGTTTACCAGGTAAGATAATGAGTGCAAGGTGTCTCTTTGAATGGGTGTCGTATACCAGGTAACCTTGTGAAATATGCTTATAAATTCTAGATTTACTAACTTTATCTAGTAAATCTACTTTAAACCTAGTAAAGCTACTTTGGAGGTAAAAATTGTATGGAGAGTCATTTTGCTGGTCGTCTTATTGACATTAACTAGTTATTTTTATTAAGTGCTAATAAGTTAAATAGTTAAATTATTAAGTGTCGGTTAAAACAAACACCTCCATTGTTCTTGGCACCAACAATATCTCCTAAACAGGGGATGATTGCTGAGACGTGATGACCCTGGCTTCACTTTGAAAATATCATTAGAAGTGTGAAGTGTTACAAAAATTCAAATACAGACACAATGGGATCTCAGATGTAATCCTTGTTATAGTTACTGTAAAATAGATTTATGATATAGGGAAACACTACGGCACGTGAAGTCGAAATAAGTGTTATTGATCCAATTTTTGATGGAAGCACAACTACTACTGCACCTACCACTACAAAAGCGACGAATGCTACTACAAAGGCTCCACTTTTTATTGGAGGACACAAAGAGCACAGATTTACATTAAGATGTCTCAAAATTCCAGATACTGGAGTTAATAAAACCGTAGCTCATGTTTTCCATGGAGGGTAAGTAAAGTTTATTCAATTTTTTTTATATACAATATGTATTACGTACTTTTAAGCAGCCTCTTAACAATGCTATATTTAGCTTATATCGGACTGAATGGCGAACAATTATGTTCTCTGCAGGTTATTGATAGAATTTCATATTTTTTTGGCAAGTGAACCGTTCCTGCAATACATGTAAAATTTTCAGCACTTATCTTAACAGTAGTTTAAGGAAAATCACAATCCTGACCTAAATTGTCAAAGATTGATGTTTCTTTTTACTAATGAAAAGAATAATTTTATAATGAAACGTGATTTGGGTATTTTTTTCATCTCATCATTTACACATTAGGAAATTGTAATTCAGGGTATTTGACTCCTAAAATGATATCCATACTCATCTACAAAATATGGTATATGTTAAAATCCAATTGGACTGGGAACTTTTGATGACATTTTTTTCATTCATGTTTGTCTGTCTATTTCTTTGTAATGTATAATCTGCTTTACGGGGGGGGGGGATTAAATTTTCTTTACTTTTTATTTAAATTTTAATTTGTAATATTATTGTACATGTATATGATGTATGTGTGCTATCGTTTTTATAATTTTTCTTCACGAGTTTGATATATTTTAAATGAAATATGACGATAACGCACAAAAATCAAGCACAAAGGTTCATTGAATCATTTCACATCTGAAGCAGAGCAAACACGTTTCTCTGGCATTAGAAGTGGGATCGAGTGCAATGGAGAAATAAGCATCCCCTGTCCACTGGTTACATTCACCCTTTTCTTCTTTTCATGATTGTGAAAACAGAAAAGTAGATTGATAATTAAATGTAAAATAATAACTTTGCAATTCATATTGAAAAAATCAAGTTTTATTCGACATAATTAAAGATAGTAGTTATTGTAGAAAGGTTCATTGTTTCGATCTAAGAATATGCGAATTGATGATTTTAACTTCAAGTTGTAAATATTCTTCTTTCATCAAAATATTTGTCTTTATCATAAAGTTGGGTTAGGAATGTAGAAACACAGAAAGTATGTTATTTTACGTCCCATTTGTGAATGTATCGCTCGTATAGACACGTCATCATGTATATGTGAAGGGCTAAAAATTTCGACCTTTGCCTGACATGCAGCATGTGCAGGACAGTTGAGCGGGCAGTAAGTTATCTTTTATATTGTGGCAATGTCCATCGTAGCTTGGAGCGCTTGGCAAAGTTGCTACTATTTCTTTTTTATCGACTTAAGCCAGTCACCCTGACGGTCAAATGTTTAATGATAAGAATTGTTCTCTCTCTCTCTCTCTCTCTCTCTCTCTCTCTCTCCCTCTGAAAAAAATAACCAGTGAAAGTCACTGGGAAGACTAGTAAATTTACTGTCCATACAATCACTACCTTAAAAGTAGTTTTACTAGGTATTGGGTATATTTACTTCTAATAATAGTAAATCTAAGAATTCATAAGTAACTTTCACTAGGTATTTAAGTATCTTTACGACCACTACTCCACTTTTCACTATCTTAGCTAGTAAACAGAGTGATAACTCATCACGTAGAACGCTTTACTAGGCACACTAGTTAAATCAACTAGGTAATTTTCTTAGTGCTCTTTTGATTTCCTAAGACTTTTCAAAAAAGGTCATGCAATCATTTAACATATGCATGCATCTGGGTACGTATCATATATAAGATTTTGACTCAAAACATTAATTCAAAATGTTTTAAAGATACAATGTCTCTGTAATATAATATCCTAGTTATAATGATGATGAAGTTTAATTTTAGGCCCCACAAACTACCCGACAACCACAAAGAGGTGTTTCCTGTTGAGATGCGCTTTAAGGCAACAGAGAACATTAAAGCTCCTGATATCAGTGAGATCTATATTGGAGATGAATTCTTTATGTTTCTTATATATACTGGAGGTATGTACGAATTGAGTAAGTCATGACATCCAAAACTCATAAACTTTAGTTTTTTGTTAACTGAAACTTATATTTGTTTGTACTTAACTAACATAAAAATGTTTGCTTAAGGGACTCCGACCCTCAACCAGGAAGGACAACTCTTTAATTTATAATTTTATTCAAAAAATCTTTAAATTTAGCTTGAAAATCAAATATTTTCATGCAACAATTTTCATTATATGCCTCTTAATGTGCTTCATGGTTCTTTACAAAGCTCCAGAAATCACTTCTATTTTCATATCATGTTAATAAACATTGGTATCTAAAAATGCTTTTTCGTGATAAAAATTTCTAAGAAGTTCACAATTGGTTTTAAATTATTATATCCATTGCTGAATTTAAAATGTATAAGAAAAATGAAAAAAGAAAAAAAATAATTTTTAAATATGCAGAATATTTCATTGACGCTTAGATCTGTTTTTATCTTCTTTTTTTTTTCTCATGAGATTTTTGTTATATCTGTTGAATTCTACGGCGTCAAAATTGTCTGTTGAGCAGACATAGTTTGATAGTATGGAATCAAAGTCGAGGAGAACACAAGAGGTTTCATTAATATTTTCTACTCTGTCAAATTGATAATCTAGATTCTTCAGGATACATATACTATAGAATATCTTTGGTACCATGAAATGCTCACTCATGTAAAGAAATTGTATGCTGAGCTTTGTAGCTAATTTTATATTGAAGGATTTTTCTTTCTAATTAACTCTTAAATCAAGCCCAATTATTTCATTTTAAAAAGTCGTTTTCAATAATGCAAAGAAAAATAATGTAATATTTTTAACATTTGTATCTCAACAATTATTTTCAGTCTCTAAGTACAAAGTGATACCTAACTCTTGTACAGCGTACGCAGGAACAGTTGTCCCTGGGAAATCCGATAAGCAGGTCCCTCTGTGGGATGAAACGAAGTAAGAAAAAATGACATTTATTTCCCGCCTTGACTTTTATAAGCTTTAATTTTGTGCTTCAAGTATTAAAAAAGCCATCTTTTGAAAATATCAAATGCTATTTTTAATACCGTAAACAATGTAGTTAGATTGTTTGTATTAAAGGAATTGGAAATTCTAAGGGCTCGTGGGTTACTAGTCTCTTCTCAGTTTTCATTCTCTTGATTTTTAATTTTATACAATTTTATACAAAGGCTTTGATGTCAATTTGATTAACATTCCCTCTGTGGGATGAAACGAAGTAAGAAAAGAATGACATTTATTTCCCGCCTTACAATTTTATAAGCTTTAATTTTGTGCTTCGAGCATTAAAAAAGCCATCTTCTGAAAATATCAAGTGTTATTTTTAATAAGGTAAACAATATAGTTAGATTGTTTGTATTAAAGGAATAGGAAATTCTAAGGGCTCGTGGGTTACAAGTCTCTTCTGAGCTTTCATTCTCTTGATTTTTAATTTTATACAATTTTATACAAAGGCTTTGATGTCAATTTGATTAACATAAAAATGTTGGTGTTTCAAAGATTATTCTTAAATAAATACAGCGATTTAAGTCAATATTCTACGATTTTAAAAAATGTATTCATGATATTTTAATTTCATCAAATTTAAGAATGACTATATATATATATATATATATATATATATATATATATATATATATATATATATATATATATATATATATATATATATATATATATAATATTTAATAAATTGATTAATATATATTTTGCGTATATTTATATGCAAAAATATTTCTTTTAAAGTAAGAATGGAAATGGATGCAATGTGCAAAAAGAATTACTAGACTCAATAAATCCATACAACAACAAAAATAATACCATTGCTGCAAAAATGTATGGGTTCAAGTTTGAAGAAAGTAATTTCATTACTATATCTTGTGAAGTTGGTGTTTTCCCAGAGAATTCTCTAAAGGTAAGTGAAGTCTAGCGCATATTCAATCTTAAAGGACTAAGAGAGATATAATTCTAGATCTGTCGCTGCCAACCTCTAGGTCAATTTTTATGTTACACGGTTGTATCATATTCGAAATTAATTTAATTCTTGTTGTAACAAGTTCTTCGATTGGATAAAAGTTTATATCGTGTAGTATTCCATTATGGTATACACATGAGTGATAAGATGCATGCAAAAGTTAGAGTAAAATTTGGACATTCAATTCTTTGTCAATTTACCAAGGATCGCAAGTCACATCATTCTTTGCATTTACAAATTATATAAAATATTTTATTACCTGATAAAATAAGTTTTTGTCTTTTATTAGAGATTTAATATTTTTATCTTTTCTGTATTGGTTTCCAATTTTTCGTATCTCTTGAAACCGATCTATTGAATGTCGGTCAATATACTGAAATCTATTAACTTGCTGCTAGTAAAACCGATGTGGGTTTTTAATTTATATGTAACATTGCACAGACATAGTAAACAATGATTTTTTAACTTTTGATAAACATTGAAAAAAATATAAGATTTCAATGGTAGGATGCACCATATCTAGGTATTTATTTACAATGATTTGAATTCATAATAGTACAGAAACCTTCTGTTATTGTAATTTTCAATTGTGAACACTGAATGCGGAAAATAATATCAGGTAATAAAACAGATATTTAATGCCTGAACAGTATTTTTTCTTGTTTCTTGTTTATTGACTGCTCAGGCATTAAATATCTGTATATTATACTGTTCATCAATTCATTCATTGAAATTGCTTCAGCCTTGATCTTCAGAAAACTTGATGGATACACTGTTTTTTTTTCAATCAAAAACTTTAATATCAATTTTGAAATAATTGTACAACTTTTTGTACAATCAGATTTTTTTTCTAAGAAAATAGATTTTCAGAAGACAAAACTATTTCATTATAACTAACGAAAACTCATCTTTTTATGTAAATAAGCCTCGTAATCTAATTAACCGTAGGGTATTTTACATAAATGTACATCAATTTATTTGACATATAATTTATTTTAAGTTGAAAGGTCGATTTTTAGCTGTTATTGACATTAGTATAATTTATTTATTTTAAATTCTCTTTAACTCTTTTAGTGATAAAAAAATCTCTTGCAATTTTTGTACAGTAGTTCTGAAGTTCCTCCTTCGTTGCTGTTAATAATTTTGTGAGGAGTTATGAAAGGGGATTGGTAAAATATGTAGTGAAACTGCTATGAACATCTTAAAATTCGACCTTTCATCTTCATGTAACTATTACGTCGTCTAAATACAAAGAATCTATTTTGCACTTCAAATCAATTGTTTTTTGTGAAATCGTATTTCCACTTAGAAAATATGCACATCAACCAGACGAAGAAGGGATACACGACTTGGGAGAAGGAATCTTGTAGATACTGCGATTCAGAGGAAGAACGTTGTCGGCAAATTAAGAGTAGTTGACCATCCCTCTGAATATAAGAATATGGCCAGTAAAACTGGAAGTAAGCTTGGTATTATTGTGATGATTAATTCTTGTTAAAGTAGTAGTATAAGAAGTACGAAAAAAACTATAAGTATTTTTTAGCATAAATATATTATACTTCTATGTTCTTATCGATATCTAGGTCTTCATCACTCATCAACAATTCTGAATTATTAAAGTTTAATTTTACTTTTAATGATGACGTCATTGTTTTCAAGTATGTCAAAGACACCAAAAATCAAATTCAAATATGAAAAGCAGATCAAAACACTTTCTTTGGTATTGGTATGCACAAAATGAATCATTTCATACCTCTCTAAATGTAATGACTTCCACATTTTACTCTTAATATCTTTTATGGGCATACAGTCTCATAATTAACAAATTTTATTTTAAAAAATATCCTTTGTTTTTTTACCATTTTTTAAATCTATTTTCAAAGGTAATATTTTCATCAAATGTTAAAAAGTTACTATTAAAACAAGAAGCATAAGCATTCCGTTCTTATACGTGTGAATTCAAATTAATAACTAGGATGAAATTCAGTTAAAGTTTCCATTATTTAAGTTAAATTACGTACTTTATAATTTTTTACACACGAAAGAGAACTTTTGAGAACAAATTAGGTAATTGCATTATTGAGTAAATTTGGATTCATATTACGTTTTTAATTAAAGATTATCATCTTGCTTAGCTGTATAAACAGGCAACATATTTTTTCTATTTAATTCTGCAATAAGTCGAATAAGTGAAAACAGGTTAAATAAGTCGGGGAAAACTAAAATAACTTTGTAATCAGTAGTCTTTTTGATACTGTAATACTAAGCAATATTCTTTTCTTGAATCAACGGTCAAATATATTCTTGAGTCTTGATTGGGTATTTATTTTTAATTCTCTTTTCAGGTTCATTTGAATGTGTCAAGCTGTCCCTTGGAATTATGATGTTGTTGTTACTTTTCAGCATATTCAAGTGAAAGAACTTTGTTTTTTAACCAGATTGTATAATTTTTTGTTTCATATTGGCATGTAAACTGTAATTTAGACATATGTATCGGAAGAAGCATTGAAAAACGAGTGTATTTACGAACATGAATGTCAGAAAAGAAATCAATATCAACGGAAATTAAAGTTTTTTTTTGCATAGATATTGCTGTGTTGTTTATTAACGGAAATGCAAAAAATATATACATTCAGAATATGTGATAATTTGTCTTATTTTCATTTTTCAGAAATTCTGTTGCAATTTATTTGAATCCTTAATAAATTGAAATGAAAATTATGATTCAAGAACTACGAAAAGATACTTATTTTATTTCTCTAAGAGTTATTTTAAGAATATTCATTGGGAAATATCTTTTGCAGGATTTTAAATGTAGTCTTTAAGCAACATTAATCAAGTAGAAGGCACACAACATGGAGGCTTAAATAATGTAACATAACACAATACAGTCAGTAATAACAAGCACTTAACTAACATCAAATCTAAACCGAAACATATTTCAGCCAAGTTAGGAGCAATTAATACAATCACATATTTTGTGAGAATACCTACATGCTGCGCGCATTTCTTAACAAACACTATAGATGGAAAACAAAATTTGCAGCCCTCTACCAGCAAATGGTGGCGTCTACATACGAGTAAAAAATAAAAAAAATTTCGAGAGGAACAACAAGCAAACTGGTATTTATTCAGTGTATTTGCTACAAGCAGGTCCATTAAATACCCTGATAAAGGTTTATAGCTTGATAAAGCTATATAGCTTTATCAAGGTATTACAAATACCTTGATCATGGTATTTTATGTAATGAAAATTCAAAAAAAATTCTTAAAAAGTTAAATACTGAAAGTAGAATTTTGTGTTTTTGTCAATGTATAAAAGAAAGTCTCCTCATACGACATACTTTTATACTGATTTCTTTGTGTTTGAGTACTTTACATGCATGGATGAATTTACTGTTACAAACTCAGAACTCGACTTTGACAGGTTTTTGCTATATACGTCGCATGGTAGCATGGGTATTACAGTGTAACTGGAGAATAACCGCTGTTTCGTTATATATTGGATGAATTTAAAACGATAGGAAATTACGGTTCGATACATGAATTTCTACATAGTATTATACGAGGGGTGATCAAAAAGTTCGCAAACTCTTTCTATATCTACAAAATCACAATTCAGATTAGAAAATAATATGGTACACACAAAGCCATACACAATTTCTACAAATAGCATATGCTGAATAAAGTTTTGCTCCTTGTTTGCGATGTCACAATGTGAAAATGACATCACTATGTAGGTCACTTGTGACAAAAAATGGCTGTCTCAGTCGAAGTGTTTTAAAAAACGATTGTGAATTTTATTGTACATCTTAAAATCCCTTGAAAGTAACGTATAATAATTTGTACAAAGTTTATTAAGACAAATGACTTCCTATCAATTAAATCTGTGATTGGATTGTTTGTTTTAGTGAAGGAAGGCAGATGGTTAACAATGATATTTGTTATGTTGCCCAATGAAAACAAGTTTAAAAGGAGGTGTGTTTTTAATTAAGCAATTTGCTATCAAAGACGTCAAATTTACAATTTGAAAAATAGTTGAATATTTTAACAAAAATATAATATTAAATACCTAAGATATCGTTTACTTTAGATTTAAAACATATTAGATATGATAAGAAGAAGGCACCCATTCTCTATCCACCTTGAATAAACGTCTCTTCCGAGACAAAGGATTTGGGTTTTGATGGTCGCCATGCTTATTTTTGGAAAGGATATTCTTATTCACCAATTCCGTTGCCGAGATTTGACAATTTCTGACAAATAAACTGTTCTTGTTATAAAAATTAACTTACATGGAGAGATATATAAAACTCAGAAAAATCTTTCAGCTTTTGTGACAGAAAGCTACGGAGGGGGTCACGTGACTGCCTATATCACGTGATTTGCGCATGCGCAGAACAGTTACAGATTTGCATTAAATCGGAGAGGATTAATTTTTAAATCATTTCTGTTATGGAAGTTATTCAATTAGATCGCGAACTTTTTGATCACCCCTCATAGCTACCTGCCAAATGTTCAAAGACAAAAATATACCATTTTTTAGTATTTTTTAGTATTTTGATTTCAAAAAGTCAAGGCCATAAGTTTGAAAATTCTTTCTGTTTTAACACTTTCGTTTCCATGCGAGAATGTTAAAGCTTTTGCAATGGCATTTTACCAAAACTCCCTATGTGCTATTTTTTTTTTAAATTACGTTTGATTACTCCTTATGCCCCTCCTGCCCTTCTTAAAGTGGCACAACTCTCTCTATTCCCCCTCCCTCCCGGGACAGCACATTCTCTTCTTTTTTTCACTTCAGCGGGGAACATGGAATCCCTTAATAACCGTGTTCCTTACAGCTTTAGATTGAGACAAGACAGGGCTTTTATACTTGATATGCCACAAGATGCTTCGGAACATGCCTTGAGTTTTGATCTCTTAAAATTGACCTTCATGTTTAATGCTTTTGATTTCAGTTTTACCTGATTTAAAAAAATAAGAATGTTAACTGTGATTACTTTTGAATGATATATATTAGGACATTCATATGAAAGCGGGGAATCGAGGGAAAACACTCTGGTCTATTGATTAATTAGTCTGGGTTTTTTTTTTACCTTATACATGTATAATGGTGTGTGCGTTTATTGGTACTGTTGTTCCAATAGATTGCCGGTCCGAAATTTTCAAACCATTGACCCGCAATTCAATAGATCACTCTGAAGTTCCTTCATTAGTTTAGAGGAATGATTATACAGAGAAAATAGTCAAAAATACTACTATAATAAAACAGCAAAATCAAGTTTAAAAATGCCAATGAGACTTCGAGTGAATATGGAGATAATTTCCTATTAAATTCGGCATTGTAATAAAAAAGTACAATTCTAGAATTACAAACATTAGTCCTTCGCACTATTTAGCAATTAACACATGAAGTATTGGAAACATTTCTCAAGTGAAGCCGAAAGCCATTACTATGCATACAGGAAGACATATTTAGAGTTAATCTTTTTATCTTATCAATTTATGTTAGCTTTAAGAGTTTCTTTCTAAACCCGCAATAACTCAACAACGTCTTGCATTTACGTACATCCTCTACATGTATTCAAATATTTCAACATTTTTTGGCATTTTCCAGTAACAAATTTATTTTAATAACACTGACCTATTTGAGACACAGTAGACTCAGCATTATATCAATTTCTTTGATTTAATTAGGAAACAGCAAAAAGGGTACAAGCTACATGTACTTAAAGTTCAGCAAGCCAAACATTTGTTTGTCTGTCTACTTAGCTCTCTGTCTCTCATCACTTAATTTGGTATGAGCACGTTTCAATATACATATTACTGTTTTATTTACTACTGAGATAAGGGATATGTGTAGAGGTTGAAGGTGAATGTTAAATGTTAAGATTAAAATTCAAGGTAACTTTTTTTCAACTTACAACTGAACAATTTCCCTGTCTTATTGGTTTGTCAGGTAAGTCGTACCCCTCCCACCTCATTTTTTAAAGAAAACGATACTTATTGCCCGGGAGAACCCCAGAATTTAGATATCATTAAGCTAGTATCAAGGTCAAATTCATGATAAATTGTTACGCTCATTTTCCATATAGTTTGATGTATTATATTTAATATTTTTGACCAACTGACTCCCTACTTTTTATATTACAGTAGGTAAAATTACCGAGACTAAAAAAATTTAGTTAGAAAAATGCAGATGTTTTGATATGTTGATGAAGTGCGCTGGATGAATATTTCCTTAGATTTTGAGTTTCCTTAGGTGAAAGACTATTTCTTTCTTTTTTTCAAAAGAAATACCATTTCTGCTTAACCAGAGAAAAGTGTATACATAGACATATAATAAATTTCTACATAACATCAGTATACTTGATAGCTACCTGATCAAAGTTCAAGAACAAAAGTGATCCTTTGTTAAGGACACACTGTAGACACATGTAGGGCCTTGTCAGTTTCTATTTTAATCTAAAGAGTACGTTAGGTTAAGTATTGTATCGCCTTACTTCGCACGGATGATAACGTCAAAGTTTCCAAAGCATGTTTCATCTTTGCTAAAAATAAAGTTGGATAAGTCCCACTTACATTTATAAATTTCATCGATGCACATACTTAGGTCTACCTAAGCAGTTAAGGTACCAATATGGCACACACATACTATCTTCTGAAGATTTTTAAGTAAGTTACGGACAATATTCACACCATAATTCAACTTATAGACAATCGTATATTGACGGTCAGCAGTGACAACGTTTTTTGCTTTTGCATATGTTTGTCCGTATATTTCGTACTACCCGGGGACTCGAATCAAAAAAATGCACTTACGCACCGTAACGTCATCAAAGGTTGCCATTTTTTTTATTGTTTTTACCACTTTCCAATTTCGAATGCTCGGGAAACTGTCAAAAATTTGCTAAATGCACTGAAAATTTTAAAAAGACGACAAATTAGATTGTGGAATCTACTAAATATAATATTTATCCCAATTTTATGTATTTAAAACTTTTATTATTAATACTTGTGTATTCTCTAATAAAACCTTGGTTATTTGACCGTGTGCAGTAGGACCGTACCCTGTGTACATTCAAGCATAATTAAATCTTTTATTATTGTCTATAGATTACCAAATATTATTATATGATTGAATAATTACCACCTCTCTGATTGGCTGAGATCCAACTATGTTAGAAAAATACTACGTTGTATTGACCTGCACGTGACGTTCCAGGTCAATACAAGGATTTATTTCCTCTACATTGATCTAAAAATAGATCGGGAAATTCCAAATTGATACAAATTGTTTTGGAAAGCCATTTAAACTACTATGACTTTTTTTTTATGTGAACAAAACAAACGAATATATATTTTCGGGTGAAGGTGGTAAGAGGGGATGCAGAGACACCCCTCCGACACTTTTACTGAACAACAATATTTACTTTTTTGGCAGTCAGTTTTCCCTGATAATAATCCTTCCTTTATAAATCTATCCTAAAAAAACTGACATATTTTTTTTTTCATGGCAACTAAAATTGATAAAAAAAAACTTTAAAAAAATAAATAAATAAGACCGGTAAGGTTGATTATCATTTTAATTCTGCTTCTCTTAATTGTATTTGGATAGGACTTAATTAAATGCAAACAAGTAATGGGTTTTATCATTTTATTAGTGAATCATATGATAAAACAATTATTGCTGTTTTTTTCGGTCAATACAATGATTTAGCCATCTTCGTAGTACAATATTCACCTCGCCCTCCGGGCTCGGTGAATATTGTACTACTCAGATGGCTAAATCATTGTATTGACCTCAAAACACAGCAATAATTGTATAATAATGATGCACGTAAAATATGATTAATAAACATTACCTGAAAATTTCAGATTGATGCGCCCATTACTTTTCTTGAAAAACACTTTGTGCACGATTTTTCCGGACAAGCCTCGTAGTACTTCGCACTATCTAGCAATTTACGCGTGCATGTTCATGAAGTATGAGCAGCAAGTACTCCGTTTGTAGTTAGTTTTGGACAATGCTTTTTTTTTCTTATTCAAGCACGATTTCAAGATTTCATTTTTAAAGTAATTCCGAAAGCCTATTCTATGCATACATGAAGAACCAATTATAGTTAAACTTTCTATCAATCTATTAAAAGCTTTCAGTGTTTCTTTCTAAACCTGTAAAATCTCAACATCTTGCATTTATATACATCAAAATAATCTTCTATTTGAACATATCAACGTTTTCCCCATTTTCCAGGAATAATGGTACTGTAAACGTACTTTTTTCAACTGGGTCATAATTTCGCGGAATCTCTTTTTCTGTTAAACCCGCTGATAAAAAAATACGCAGATATCTTGAGGGTCTCCTTATATGCCCTATGTTTGAATTTAGTACGATGGGACTATTTTCCGCGGAAAATTTGTGACCGCGTACATAGCGTTAATTAACACCACGCGGATAAAGGTACTTCTACAGTATTTCAACAACACTGACCCAATTATGTCACAGTATGCAGAGTAGTTCAGCAAACTAAACATTCAAGAAACCCAGCAATAATGTCGCAACAGATAAACGTACAGAAAAGTCCCCAAATTAGATCTTTACGATTTTTCCAAAGAATGCTTCAACTATTGTATCAATGAAGTATGTACCTCTGGTTACCAAAAAGATACGGGAATACTTTATGAATATGTATATATATTATTTCAAAACAAAGAAAGGCATACATGATATATTTATATGACCTAAATTGATAAAAATAGAATAAATAAAACATTTTTACTATCATGATCTAAATTACACATTCTTAAGGACAAATCGCTAAATTTGCGTCTCGCTAACATTTCCACAGAGGATGTTGACCCCACGGCGATATATAATTCTATCTTTACATATTTACTATTCATACAAGATAAATGATAAATTGATCAATGCTATAACTTTTCCAAAACTTCATTTTCGGCGACCTGATTTCTTCCATTAGTAATGTTCCTTATCAAGCACTTGGACACGTCCATTACATAAATCCCGATTCGAATGACCTAAATCAATGTATGACATCTAAAGAATATCCTCAAATGGAAATGTACAACATTCTCAAGATCTTATTGCTTCTATCAAGTAAGTAGAATCATATTATAAACATCATTTCTGATAAATATATTCACTTGCATAATAAAAACACCTGCATTTCCGTCTGATTCCCATTCTTGAACTATATACTTGTTATTATTTGTAACAAGGAAATCCATGCACATGTATGTTCTTCTACGTTTTGAATTCTTGTGGCATTTATTGATATTGCTCAAAGTTTACGTTATCATTATGAACAACTTCGTATAAATTACGATTTGCAAAGTGTGGAATTATTTTACAAATAATTATAAGTTTTAAATGAAGATTATTATCATTTTTTTACATATCAAAATTAAAATGAACAGTTTATTATAAAATGTGTAAAAAAAAATATGAAAAGGCATATATTCTGTTTATACATGTATACCTTTATTTTCCATTTACTTTAAAGTATGTTATGATGATCACCCTTTTTCTTTGTTTATTATCGAAGAATAATAATAAACATTCTTCCTGATTTGACTTGATTCTCATTATTATTTTTTCATTTATCTTTTATTTTTCCCTTTAGCTACAAATCATGCTTTAAGTCTTTGTTATACCAGTAAGTACTTATTTATCTATATATTTTTGAGAAGTTTCTTTTCAATTGCAAATGATAAAACTTTAATGATATATGACCGAAAGATACGTATACACAGGGAAAACCTTTTCTTATCTAACGGCTAGTAGTCATTTTTGTTATGTGAACGTGAATCAAAAAACTTAATCCTTCTAGGCATTAGTCTTTTAAAATAGCATTGACGTTAAATAAGATTAAAATTTGAATAACTAGAACTAGGTCTAACTTTACCTAATTATTTCATTCTTTTCTTCTTGTTTAAATTTTAGATCACTGCCATCATTTGTGTCCTTCAGGAAAGTTTGAATGCTTAAGTCATAGCACTACTGATAATCATGGTTGTCTTTGTTATCCTGCAGACTTTTGTGACAATACAGATTACCCTTGTTCACCCTTACACTGTCCGCATAATGAACTGACAAGATGTAACGGGCATAACAAATGTGAGTGCTACTGCAGCCAGGACAGTCATTGTCAAAACTGTCCAGAGCAAGGTTTCTGTATTAACGAACAATGTGTCTGTGAGTCTAATAACTATTGCCCTGGAGGAAATCAATATTATTGTCTCAAAAATTTCCACTGCCTGCATGACGAATCAAAGAGGTGCAATTCGAATGACAGATGCGAGTGTTTTTGCAATCAAGACAGTGAATGTAAAAACTGCCCCGAAAAGGGATTTTGTGTTGATGGCCAATGCGTTTGCGAGAGTCATGATTACTGCCCAAAAGAAAATCATTTATACTGTGCGTATCTAGATGCAACATGTACCACGGGGTTTACTGCTAAGTGTAATGGATTTAATCATTGCTATTGTGCGTATGTCCCTGATACCTGCTCTGGACACGATGTGACTAAATGTTTCCATCTGAGATGTAGACCAGGAGAGAAGAAATTCTGTGATGGTAGAACCTGTACATGTAAACCTTTAGACTATTGCAAAAGTGGTGATGCAGATTGTGGACACAAAACATGCGACGTTTCCGTGGGGGAAGTGAGTATATGCGGGAACAACACCTGTCAATGTCTAGCTATTCCAGACTTCTGTGGAGGCAGTGACACATCCACCTGTAGACACCTCAAATGTAATCATTACCAAGTGAAAGTATGTGACAACGGAATGTGTAAATGTAAACTCAATCCAGGTAAGTTTTAATTATTTTATTTATATTCAAATAATGTGTAAACTGAACCAAATAATGCTGTTTTTAATTTTAAATTGCCAATCACAAGTAGTGCATATTTCTGGTCACATTACAATGCATATTTTGCTAGCATAATTGTCATAAAATCAACCAATTTCCTTTTTAATTATATATTAAAATCGTTAGATATTGCACATTCATATTCATGTATAGTTTTAAAAATATACGAAGGTCATTCAAAAATTCGTAGACAATATTCCTCATCGTCATAATATTATTAGAAGATTATAGATCAACACATTTTCATAAATAAAAAACATTTTCTTTGTCGATTCGTGAAGTTTCATTCCATTTGATTAAATTGAAATCTTGCTAGCCAATTTTTAAAGCAACATGTTTTGTTACCACGGATCACGGTTAACTAAAATTGTAACGTCAAAAACAACGTCGAGAAAGTTTCTCATAATTGCTCTGCTTTTTCATTTCATAGACAGTTTGTAGCATCTTCTCCATTCAAAAAACATATCCATAACACTTGATACAATGAAGCGCATTGGAGTGGTAAAATTTTCCGTTTGGACGAAAGGTTCTGAGTCATGTTTTGAACGTCAATTACAACATAATGACACGCCCATATTTTTAGAAACGAGAAAGAAATATTCCTCGTAATGTTTTAGGACACCCCATTCTTCGCGACAAGCAATATGAGTTACACTGAAATGGAGCTTTAAAAGAATTAGAATAGAGAGTTACAGACTCTCCGCTTCTGTAAAACACAAATTGCAACGAAAATGTACATATTTTTGAACTTATCATTTCTATTGAAGTTACCACAACACATGTTTCGGTCGAACACGTGTTTACTCGGTATTTATTTAGGTCGTCAATTTCATTGGCTATTATATTTACGGAAAACCTGTTCTACAGGTATTCGGAAAAACAAATAGACCGTTTTATCCATTTCTAAAGAAATGGGCGTGTCAAAAGATGACAATAAACGTTCTAAAGATAGCTCAAAACGTTCCATTCGAACGGAAAATTTTACCACTTCAATGCGCTTCATTGTACCTAGTTTGCTAACAATTGTGCAAATAGCTTGTACGAGATTGTTATTCTTTTCAAATTCCTTAGGCCTACTGCGGAACTCGACTAGTTCTGCAACAGTGAAGCACATATCACGTTTTATTAAGTCCCTAACTCTTTTGACAAGATTTTTAACTTTAACCTGTTTCTTTGAATATCATCCATCGTCTGATTTATGAACTCCCTAGAACTCAAAAATTGTATTTTCCATTTTATACAAATATCTGGCGTATTTTTCATAAATTTCCTGGTTTATACAGATTTTTAAAAGTTTGTTTACGAAGTTTCCCGAATGCAAGGCAAAATTTTATAGCTACTCGCTGCTCTGTGATGTCCTCCAACGTCATAATTCTTTTGCCTTTTTTAATCAAGTCCATATGTATTTAGAAACTGATATCTTTTAAATGGAGCGATATATTACACTATCTGATAGCATCTTAAATGATAAAGCAAGATTGAATTTAAACATATAAATCTTACTTTGTTTTAGCTTCATTTATTCGAGTTTTGGCTATAGAATCTATAAAGTGAAAGTTAGTAAATTACTTAATTTGACGTTGCTCCGTGACCCCATTTTTGTTGTTCTAAATCCTTGATAATTTGTATGAATATGAAAATATTTTCCAATTTTTTAACTCAAATTATTTGAAATTGTTGTTAAAATATGTTTACCGAATTTGGATTTTATATGACGTTAAATAAAAAAGTTAGGACAAAAGTCTACGAACTTTTTGAATGACCCTCGTACATGAATATTAATCAGAATTGACAAATAAATACATTTTGTGTGTAATGATGGCGTTTACTATATGATTGCGATTCCTTTTAAATTAAAAAAAAATGTCGTTCATGCAAAGTATCAAGTTTGTTCAATGTATAAAGTATCAAAAAGTCACTAAAAAATGAATTAAATTGCGTATAATAACATTACAATTTTCAGCTAAAGTTTAAGCCACATTTGAAACAGTGTCAATTACTAGTATACATAAATCTTGGGCGCAGGTCACTTCCGACATGCATACATGTAGAATGTTTTGCGTTTTCATCAAATACAGTTCATGCACCTACATGTACATGAAAATAGTCTTATTTACATCATTATAACTTTTTGATTACAAGTTTCTACTCTAACTTTGAATTTAGATGCACTAAATACATTTTATTATTTAAGAATTACAGCTGTAAAAGATTTGAAACAAAATATCATACGCTTAATTTTATGCCCCCGTTATAAAAAAAAAAATTAGGCGGTTTATAGTTTTTGCCCTGTCCATTCGCCTGTGTGTCTGCCTGTTTGTCTATTTATCTCTTTGTTTGTCCGCAAAAAGTAAATCTTGCTAATAAATTTTGAGTGGGTTAACTATAGTTTGATATTATAGTTAATTATAGTTATTACTTAAACACTCTGAAAACTTTGGCGAAAACTTTGAAACTTTTGAAAAAATTATCGAATATCTTGACACTTTGAAAAACTTTGGCGAAAACTTTGACACTTTGAAAAACGTTGGAGAAAACTTAGACACTTTAAAAAAATTGGCGAAAACTTTGACACTTTGAAAAACTTAAGTTTACGATAGTGAACAATAGTTAACTATAGTTTTTTTTGTTTGGGAGTGACTTTTATTTTTCACAGGTGTAAATCCTTGTGAGAAGTCCTTCTTTGAGAGTATTACGGTGGCTGGTATAGGACATGGTATGAGATTTTTTTTTTTTATTAATTCGTGGCCACGAAATAAAAATTCGTGGCCACGAAATAAAAATTCGTGGCCACGAAATAAAATTCGTGGCCACGAAATAAAAGATAAAGAATCTAGTGTATTGACAGATCGGGTTCGTAATTTAGATGTGTCCATAGACGCGCGCGCGGATCTGCAGACAAAAATCTGAGAATACATGTTATTTACAATAGCTAAGATTATGTCTAGTGCATTTTTTAATGTATTTCCCACATTTATTGCTAGATGTTTCAATAAATAGAATGTACTTGTAAGGCTTTTTTCGTCAAACACTCAATGTTTATTTATTTAACAATTAGTGGCAGAGTAGGCCCCTATTATCGGGAACGTGGCCTCTTAAAAATTAGAGCAATATTCATATATTGTCATGATTGTTTTCACATAAAACTCAACTGTTTAATACAAATGAAAATGTGTTTACTTCAATAAAGGTACATGTAATTGTTAAGGGAAAAATTGCGATGAACTAGTAAGATCAGTATTGATAAGTACTATTTATTCGTACATCAGCTCTTCATGCAAGTTACTGGCAAAAATCAAATTTCAATAGTAAATAATGGTTCAGGCTTATTATTCAATACCCATAACCCATGAATCTATTTGGCTCAGTCTAATTGAATGATAATAATAAGTCCGTTCATCTTGAATGAATACAAGAGAAGAAGCTAAATATATATAGCAGAAAATTTATTTCGTGGCCACGAATTTTTATTTCGTTGCCACGAATTTTTATTTCGTTGCCACGAATTTTATTTTGTGGCCACGAATTTTATTTTGTGGCCACGAATTTTATTTCGTGGCCACGAATTTTATTTCGTATCCACGAATTTTATTTCGTTCCCACGAATTTTTATTTCGTGGCCACGAATTTTTATTTCGTTCCCACGAATTTTATTTCGTGGCCACAATTTTATTTCGTTCCCACGAATTTTTATTTCGTAGCCACGAATTTTTATTTCGTTCCCACGAATTTTATTTCGTGGCCACGAATTAATAAAAAAAATTTCATACCATGTCCTATACCAGCCACCGTAGAGTATTAAAAATTTTGACCATTTTTTTTTAAATTTCAACCCTTGCCAAAAGCTTCATACAGGGGCATCAATGTTCCACAAACACATCTTATTTTCAATCTGATGAAATTAATACTCTTTACATCATCTTAATGTAATTTGAGCAAATGAGCTCAGAGAAGAAGAAAGGATAAGGGAACCGACTGAGGTTTTTTGTTTATAAACTACAATAAGAATCTTCTTTATTTCATAGCATTTGTAACTTGCATTTACTTCAGTGTGCATTCATGTTTAGGGAAAATCTACCATCTGTGTATTTGTGGGGAGCGTCTCAAAAACAGGATTAGTTTGAAAACTGTCTAACTCTCTTCTTAAAAGAAAATCATGCAAAATCTTAAATTACTTTTTTGCGCAAATTATAATGTGTGATTACTAATATTATGTTGTACATTATTTAACTGAACCACAAAATTCTACGGTCTGGTTTCCAGAGGGGGGGGGGGGGGTATCTCAAAATGGCATAATTAACACATTTTTTCTGTTTCATGGAGTACTACAAAATATTTAAAGGGATACCAAAATATACGTCTTGTAGTAAGATTCTCAAATTTCTATCTTTAAAATTTCAAGAGCTTTGACATGTATCGTGTACTTATGCATTAGATAATTTTTACGACCCACTCTTAAAGAAATTCAAATTAACGCACTTCACAAACAGACGCTATAATATTAATGTTATAACGAACTAGATATGCCTATCGGTTGAAAAAATTGTTTTAAATAAAAAAATAATAATATACGTAGAATTGTAAACCAGTGATGTTTTTAGCATGTGATTTCTTTAACTTGTTGATTTTATTTATGTTGTGAAAATTGTTGCCAATGCTTTCAAGGAATAAATACGATTTATTTTACTATATGATGTATTGTGCAATGGAAACCCGCGTCGACCCTTTTAATGGAAAGCTTCATGATTTGATAAGGAACTAATAACTGATTGTATGTACATGTATGAACAATAACAGTGATTTGGTTGAATGCTAAACACGTTTTCATCGAATAATTTAGCGCGTGACAAGTACATCTATGACTGATTAGGTAAGTGATGGAATACAATACTTATCACAATGTTTTTTTTATTTAATTCCTGCAGCCTGTGATTCAAACCTAGGCTTGAATCACACATGTACTTCTGAAAACACAGTACTAGAAATGAAAATCAATGGTACAAAACGATATAAGAACTGCACAGATGATAACCTTTTTCCCATTTGTGTTGACGGACGTTGTCAGTGTATATTTTGGGAGGTATGTATGATTTTCATGTTGTTTTATTATTATTATTATTTTCTTTTTATTTGATCATAATCCCCTAAATAGTAATATTGATTATTCAACATTTTTTAAAGATGTTGTTGTTTCATCTAATTTTGTCTGAACAATTGCACCTAGGAATCTTTTTTATGCAGTATAGATTTAACCAACGCGCCTCATTTTTGTAATCACTGCTTCAAAAATTGGTATATTTTATTTTGTTTTATCGTTGTATCTGCGATATATACATTGCAGAATTTTTTTGAATAATGTTACAATTAACGATGACAAAAATTTAAAAGGCTAGTACTTAAATTGTGGATTGAACAAAAGGAACAATTTCAAATATGAATATTTAGGAAGGTAACTTAGAAAATGTTATACAACTAACACTTGAACATCAATATTGAGTAAAAAATAATCAATGTCTTAAACCTCTTAATGTCAGGAGCCACATTGAAATACCACTTGTTCCCATCGTTGAAGTTGTAAGAGGTCTATATATTTTCTTCACTCCAAATTTGTATTACTCAAATTGATGTTTGTGCTTTATATTTTTTATCGTTATCTTCATATTTCCCCAAAAATGTTTATTTGAAATTGAATTATAAAATATGGTTTTATTTGTAGACACCATCTCCCCCATCGTCAACGACAGTCTCTTCAACTGACATGAGTGGTAAATAATGAAAAGCCAATAAAATAATTGTGGAAAAAAAATTCAAAATGAAACCTTAAGGATCATTTTCAGAAGTCAATATAATAGGCCAAATATGTATAGAAAAAAATTAAAGTTAAAAACTACAAGAAAACAACATCAGATTGTGAGTATATAAAACTTAAGGATATCAGGACACCCCTTTCAGCTTTCTTGGTTCAATGATCAATTAAATTTGTTCGTCATCTGTCTTTCATAACTGGAAGATGGGGTTCGTTCAAATCTTAACAAAAAAACTTTTTCAAGGATAGATAATTAAAATAAGATTGAAAAACAAGAGGCCCATTGGCCATATCTCTCACCTGAGCATTGTGGCTAGGAAAAACGCAAACTTGAAAAGATTAAATGCATAAGAGCCCCCATTTGCCCCCAAAGGGAGGAAGAATTGGAAATGATTTGAATTAACTTTAACCTACACCAAAGATGTTTACATGTCTCTTTTACATGTACTTTCTAGGGCTATTCCCCCTTTAAGTTGGATTTTTCATTTTGACCCCACCCTACCTCAGGGGGGGGGGGGGATGATTAAAACCATTTGAAATCGACACTACCTTAGAATGCTTCCATAATAATGAACAATAATGGATTTTGTGTGCTTGAGAGGAAGAGTTTTCCTATTATATTATTTTTTGGTAATACTTTGATCGTTCATTATGACTTACTCTATCCCAAGGGGTCATCATATGGATTAACGTGAATTCCCTCTATATGAGGATGTTTGTATATATATCTGACTAATTATGGTTTTGTCGCTCTTCAGGAGAAGATTTTAAAGGATTCTGCCTATATATTCTTTTGCTTTGAAATATTTCAGTTTATATTCTTTGAAGCAGGACGTTATACAGAGTACTTAATGCTTATATAATCTCACTTTCTTAAAAATGAAAACATCATTTATCCCTCCCTATCTGAAATGTATATAGTCTTGTCTTTAGAATATACAGGTTTTAAAAGAAACGGATTAAAGATAACAATTGATCTTTGTCGGGAAATTCAGTTTTAAATGATATAAATATTTTAATCTGGAAGATGTAGGCAAATGATTTCTTTTTTCTCAATTGAACAAAATTTAGAAGTGTTATATGTATTGATCGATTTGCATCATTATTGAGACAGTGATGATTTATGAAAACTAAAATAGTCAAAGATATCCCTATAGTTTATCAAAGTGTTAAAGTTGTTACTTCAGTAAAACTCGGTTATAACGAAGTCACAGGGACCAATAGAATTACTTCGCTATACCAATAATTCGTCATATCCGTATAAGGAATTCCTTTGATTAATATATTTGGGAATCTAAAATCACTTTGCTATATCTGTGAATTCGCTATATACATCTTCGTCCTAAACGAGATTTGCTGTATATCATACTTAAATGTTATTGATGTCAAAATTAACATAACCATGAAATTATAAAAACTATAGTCTAGCTCACCTGAGCCAACGACTCAAGTGGGCTTTTTTGATCAACTTTGTCCGTTGTCTGTCGTCATTGTTGTCGTCATTGTTGTTGTCATTGTTGTTGGCGTCGTGAAACATAACACTCACGTGGAAGCATCCTTAAGTAATGTATGTAAATTCAAGTTTATTCAAATCAGGACCCCTTAGGGTAGGGGGAATCAATGTCTGAAGAAAGTTTTACATAAGAATATTTAAGCACAAAACTTCTCAGGAAATTTTAGGCCCGGAATGATGAAACTCCTGTAGAAGCATTGTCATGAAGTGTAGACTCAAATAAGTTCAAATCATGAACCCGTTGGGGTAGGGCGGGACCACAATGTCTGCTATAAATTTAAAGAGTAATATTAAGGAAAAATTTATTTAAATCCTTCTCAAGGACCATTCGACAATGAATGCTAAAACTAATGTTGAAGCATCCTCAGGTACTGTAGACACAAGTGTGTTTAACGAGGCCGAGTCTAATTCGAATGCGCATCACTTTGCGCAGCTTTTTTTTATTTCATGTAGTCATTTGTGTGACAGTACATCTTTGAAAAATTATTTTAATTCTAATACAAAATTAACATTATTTGTAACTCCTACTGATCTGGAAATGTGATTTTACGACAATTATTGGAAAAAGAACCTTGAAATGGCTCTAACAACGTCACCATTTTTGGATTTTGTAAGCAATGCATGCCGCTGAAGAAAGTTTGACAACATTTAAGATAGATAGCCCACTAAGAAATCGGGGTGGTAAACATTCGATTTTTTAATCTTAAAACAATGAATATAACAGTAAAAATTAATTATCAAAAAATTATCAAAATCCCTAGTGCAGAAATAATTAGACTCGGCCTCGTTAAATCATGACCCCTGTTGGTAGGGCGGAGCCATAATTGTTGATTAAAGTTTTACATAGGAGAAAATCTTTTTGAAATTCTTTTTCTCCACATCCATGAGGCCGGGAAAGATGAAACTCATATGGTGAGCATCCTCAGGTAGTTTAGATTCACGTTTGTTCAAATCATGATCCCCGGGGGAAGGGTGTGGCCACAATGAGGGATCAAAGATTTGTATAAGAGTATATAAGAAAATATCTTTTCAAGAACAGAAAAAAATTGTGAAGTCAAATTGACATATAACCATTTGAAAGTAGCGAAGATTTGAATTTATTCGGGGGAGGGGGGAGGGTCACAATTGGAGAACAAGTAATATGTTGGAAAAATCTTTAAATATCTTCTTTTCAAGCATGGCAAAACAATGTATGCATGCTTTATTATAATCATAATGACATATTTAAGTAATAGAAAATTCAAATCAACTTCTCCAAACAAGTAAGCTTTTAAATACTGAACTGATATGTGTTATCGACCTCTTGTTATTTTTTATAGAGTGTAAGGACATTTTTTTTTCTCTCTTTCACGAGAAATGTAAATGAATTTACGTTACATGTAGCACAATGCAACACCAGACATGACTGTAACCAGGATAATACGTTTAGGATTTTTCACAACCTCCGTATGCCCTGTCCACCGGATCACATGGAGTGTTTTAGAGGAAAATGCTTTTGTTCCAAAGAAAGGGTAAGCTCTCAAAATGCTTGAAGTATCGAACTTTAAAATTTATGTTTTATGGTTTTTTTTAACGCTGAATGAATTTCTTTAAAATTGTAAGTTAAAGGGTTGCTGTAAAGGAACGTGCAATGTATATCCTTTTCTTATTTTTTTTCATTTTTTCTGCATTTAAATCGTTGAAACGTTGTCATATCTTCTAGGTTTAGTTTTTTTAAAACCAATTTTGTACCTGAAGCTTGCTATAATGAAAAACAATTTCGCTCATATTATGACCTATGCATTGGATAACTCAGATTAAAACTACTAAACAATTGAAACCTAGCATGCTTAAAATCTTGGTAAGCAATCTTTTGTCAATCATCATAGGTGACGACCATGACGGTATTGAGAACAGATGGAACAGCATTATCGTCAACACAGTCATCACAGGTGCAATGAACATTTAAGAATGATTTGTTTAATTTAATATCAACGTATGATATATATTCATATAAACAAAAACATTCTAAAATTTCCAATTAAGTGCCCGTCTGATATTGTGAGGCTTTAAAATTTTGAATCCAAATTTTCACTCTTTTTCAAAAAAATATTTTCAGAAACCAGTAACACAAACAAGTACAACAACTCTCCCAACAACAACAGCAGCAGGTACGTCATCAATGGACAAATTCAAACCTTCGATTCTTAATTGAGATGAAAATCGTCGGAGAAAATAATTCAATACATGTGTATCTTGACTGTGATATAATTATTGAATACCTAAAATATAATTTACTCTCGTTTGTAAAAAAAAAAAAACATGATAAAAAGGGGCACACATATTATATCTACATCAGATAAACAACTCTCCAAAGAAGTAGATTCGGGATGTGATATTAATAATTTTCATTCCCTGAAAGGATATCCTTATTTACCCATCCTATTGCTGAGTTTGGGTCATTTCTGAGAAATGGACTTTCTTCATAACAATTTACTAGCATGGTAAAAAAATATTTACCAGAAAAGTCTCAATAGGTCTTGGAGAGAATGCTACCGCGAGTCACTTTACCGCTTAAAACGCGTGATTCGCGCATGGACAGAAAGGTGTAATATTAGCATTATAATTAGAGAGGACTACTGTGAATATACTTTGGACATCTAAACCTTGTATTATATCTTCTATGGAAGTTGTTTGATTAGACATGGATTTTTTTTTATCACCCTTCGTTTCGTTCTTGGTCCCTTTTTTTGTTTTCCCTTTGATCTTTGCTCAATTTTGATGATTTTTTCAATTATTTTTATCCAGTCAAATGGTTGTGGTCCACATTTTGCAAAATACATTAATTCACTAAAATCAGAATCAATCAGAATTCTATATCATTGCTTTAGAGTTATTATTCAAGAACTGTTGTGTTTCTCAACATTAAATTGTGACAATGATTTCTTGAACATGTTAAAGTTGGATTTTGTATACTTATATTTATTGAAAAATAATTTTTTGTATATTCTATTTCAGAAGGTCATCATCTGTTTTCCTAACATTAAAAATAAAAAAAATACGGTTGCTTGTAATCTGATGCTTATTTCGATTTCAAAAGTTAATTCAAATTTATATTGTCTCCTACTGTTTATTTAATATTTATGATCACATGTAATTGTAGCTGCCTGCACCTCCAGAGATAACTGTAACCAGGGCAATACGTTTATGGTGTTTCCTGGCTGGAAAATGCCGTGCCCAGTCGATCACATTGATTGCTATCAAAATAAATGCTTCTGCTCTCCAGATAGGGTTAGTGTTTAATTAATGATTCATATCTTTCTCCTTTGTGAGGGACAGGGCATCCCAAATTGTTTTACTATTCTTGTCGTCTGTCATTTTTATTGTTTGATATATATTCATTTTATATCGTTTTAGGTGAAGGCTCAATCAATTTTTATCTGATAACATTTTATTTATCCTCCGTCTGTTCGTGTGTTTGTAAACCTTTCCAACTTTGACTTCTACTGGGTCAGAACCACTGGGTCATTATATCAAAAGTTGCCAATAGCATGTTTCGGTGAATTAATTTCAAATAAAGGGTCACAATCTCTTTTAAGCGAAGATAATAATGATTTAGTGCAAATTTGGTGGCATCTTTTTACAATTACCTCCTTAGAAATCACTGAACCAATTTCCTCCTTGGAAACCACTTAACCATAAATATGAAAATTATTCAGTACACGGAACCTTTCGTTGTGGAGCGTAGATGAAACATATGGAGATAATGAATAGAATTCAAGATTAAAAGTCAATAAAACAAATCAAAATATGACCAGAGCAAACACGAATTACCAATCACCAGAGGTGGTATCAGGTTCATGGAGTAGTGAGCATCCGCTGTCAACCGTTCATATCCGTCGTGTGCTCCATGTCATGATCTGGAAATAAAAGCAAATCCGTCGTCAGTGTATGAATAATGGACTAACAATTAGTACTCAAACTTCAGTTAGCATTTGTTTCAATAGTGTATTGTATTTGCTGACAAGGTCATTATATAGACCATAGATCTTACGAAATGATGGCTTTAAACGAGACTGCTAAATGTAATATTCTTGAGTTTTCAATCTTGTGTCAATAATTTACCTCCTTTTAGAAATTGTTCATACGTAAAGCATGCCCAGGCTTATCGAATCAACTGGGATGTGTATGTGATAAAGGCCACATCAAGTGATTTCTTCGATTCTTCAATTCTATAAGCAAGAGCATGGTTTTCATGCGGTACATAAGATAAATAGATTCAAGTATGTTTTAATATGATCCTGTAAATAGAGCTGGCTTATTGAATTCATGGCGATAGGTTGGGTACACAATATACATGAGAGTTTTAGAGAAAATATATCATAAGTAATGTCTGTTACTGAAACAAGCAGGATCATGACACAGGTGAGAGCTTCAACCCGTGGGCCACTTGTATAAATATTGATTGTATCGACCGAAACAAAATTTTCACTGCATCTGGTCGAGAAAAAAATTAAACATAAAAATTAAAAAAAATCATGAGTGAATTATTATTTTTACAATATTAATTTTACTTTCTAGAAAAATTTTATTAAAATAAAATTCTGATATATTTTGAATATCGAGTGGTTAAAATATTCATTTTTATTTGTCTGCTTTTCAAGCCTTTTTGCAAACCAGATTTATACTTAGTTTTTATGTTCTTGTCAATGGAACTTTAGAATAAACAGTTCAAATGAAAGGTAAATACCTGCACAGTGCATTTAACAATTACACTATTAAGTTTCCAGCGATATCATATTTGGAAACTCATTGTACAGACCCTAAATCGTGCTACTACACCTCAACAACGAACCGTACCGTTCCGTGCAGAAAGCGTACCGTACCGTGAACAAAACGTACCGTTCCGTGCACAAAGCGAACCGTTCCGTGCAGAAAGCGTACCGTACCGTGAACAAAGCGTACCGTTCCGTGCACAAAGCGTACCGTACCGTTCTCAAAGCGAACCGTTCCGTGCGCAAAGCGTACCGTACCGTCCACAAAGCGTACCGTTCCGTGCAAGAATCGAACCGTACCGTTCTTTGGTTAATTATGCAAACCACGCCCCCAATGATTTTTGAATCATGTAATGACCAAATAAGTCATTTTGGTTTATTTCTCGCTACGGCGCCTATGAAAGGAGGACGGAGGTTTTGTCTGCCTGTTCGAAACACCATTATCAAGTATCATGCATATGCGTCTGGGCCTTCAACTGTGAAAATAAGGAAACTACTCGAAGCAAACTACAACTTTAAAACAACTAGATAGAGTGTGAGACGATTTCTTATTTGCTATAAATTAGGACAACTGGTTGTGTTTGTGGTCAAACGTACAGTACAGGCCAAGAGTGTTCCCGCAAAACACGTACGGGGCAGTGTGGACCTCGAACGATGTCGGCGTCTTTGAAGTCTTTCATTCTTTATATTAGCAAATTAAATCAATTTTCTTTTGAAATATTAGTTTATTTTAACAATCGTAATTTAATTATACAGATATTTAAAATAAAATTATAAGGTGTCCCAAAATTCAATATAATTGTGCTCGTGCCCAGGGAAAAAACCTCTTTTAATGTGTACATGTACATTCATATTTCATAATCCTATAATTATATTTGACATAAAAATAGGTTCATAAGACTATAATACCACTTAGAAAGAACACGCTATCATGAATTTATTCCCTGGTTGTCTCTACTTTTGATTTTAATTTTGCTCATTTAAATTATTAAATCTTATCGGATACAAGATCGTTTTTGTCGTAAGTATGTATTCTTATGTAATCTATATCAGATGCGTTATTTTACTAATGAAATATTTTGTAAGAATTATAAAACATATATTAACTGTCTAGAGTAAAAATTTAAAGAAGAACCGTATTAGGCTCTCACATTAATTCCGTTAAGATTTTTACTATAGGCGAATCATTGGTGCAGTTTTACTTACACTAAAAAATTTGTAATCATGTAAAATATGGATTAAAAAAGTACATGCGGTAAACGTGAATATTTCTACTGAACTGACAGAGATGATAATCTTACTAATAAATCGGTGATAAACTTTCACGCTGCATATACAAAAATCGTCAGCCGAATTTCTTGCAAATAAAATGTGCAAACTGCAGTATAAATATTACTTCATTCTAAAATACATCTCATGAAAAATAAAAAAAAAATGTGGGAAAAAATTTAAGATATTATAAGGTTTGTTACACTGTATCCCGATCCCCTTGTAGAAAGCAATACGTATTAGCTGGTCGATAGTTCTTTAGAAGTCTGCAAAATCGTACGTTGTTTTAAATTAAAAAAAATAATAATCCACAGGAAACATCCTTATTAGTGTCTGAAAAAAGATAATTTACTAAATAAAATGAAATATAAAAAAAAATCAATCCTTTTTCAAGCCATTCGAGTTATGTTTGTTACTCCCCCCCCCCCCCCCCTCTAGAAGGCGATACTTATGCAACTTTATGAGACTTTAAATTGTGCTTTAAAAAAAGAAAATTATAATTTATGGATACATGCTTCATTTTTGTCTGAAAAAGGATAATTTAGGAAGTAAATCTATAATCAGTGTTGTGGTGAAACCTGGAAGATGAGTTTGCTGGATGTCATTTGAGTGATTAAATACACTTGATGTGGTCAGAACTAAATAATTTGAAAGGTGTGTTAAACACACGCATCCCCCCCCCCCCCCCGCCCCTCCGGCTGCGACCCAATAAACAGGTGTGAACTATGAACTGACCATAAGAATGTTTCAAATAACAGGAGAAATTCTTCTTGCGTAAACAGACTTTCCGGTTTACCTAGCGTCATACCATTTTGATTGACAGGGGATGCACGAGAATTTCATGCGTGCAGCATGCATGTACAGAGAACGGATTATTCATTGAACAATAGTTGTAAAGGGGTTGATTAAATAGAATCATAGACTGATTAATTGTGACTTTAGCGATGTAAATAAACGAAGAATGAGAATAAATACAATTTAATATTTTCTTTACAAATAATGTATTAAGGGGTTGCATCTTTCTCTCTATCCTCTCTCTCTCTCTCTCTCTCATTCACGACATCGTTTTTACAGACTACAAGAATAGAATAACTTAATAAAATAAAGAAAACTTATTGAAATAATTACTTAATACACTGAAAGGATTATTGAAAACATAAATACTTGTCTGTGAAAAGAATGTTTTCTGTTACGAGAAAGCACTCGGAAGTTATTGTATTGATTTCGTGTTTCTGCTGCGGATTTTCGTATCTACTTTGTTTACTGTTATTTTTCTTCTGAAGCAAACGTTTGAACGGTAGATCTATTTTAAAAATAAAAAGCAATGTACACATCAAATTACTACGAATAAAAGTGAAGCAGGAAGAGTCATATCTATTTCTATAGATTAATGAATTAAAAATAAGTTACATATGTGCGTAGCGTTATATGTATAGAACAGGTATATACCCGATATATATATTAATTCCTTTTAATTATCTTACAACTTTATTTGAAAGTGGAAAAAATATTTCATTTATTTTTTTTCCGTTTTAAAATGAAGGTTCATCATATACGTAAAAAATAAGCACGGAAATCTTTATGAGTTCTATATATATCAATACATATCTATACGTAATGTCAAAGACATCGGTGGGATGATGTTTTTTCTTCCTTTCATTTTTTTTTCATTTTTCCTCAATCACCGCTGTAGTGTAAATTAATGTTTAAATTGAAACCGAGAAATTAATTTGTTAAAAGCGGAAATATAATTATATATGTGCATTAAGTACTTCAAAAGTCATTTGAAATGAATTAATTTTTAGTAGCCAATCAAAAATTAAAGCTAACAGGCTCCGCCAACTTCATTTGCATACCGTTTCCCAAAGCGTACCGTTCACAAAACGAACCGTTCCGTGCAAGAAACGAAACGTACCGTCCACAAAGCGTACCGTTCCGTGCACAAAGCGAACCGTTCCGTGCACAAAGCGTACCGTTCCGTGAACAAAGCGAACCGTTCCGTGCACAAAGCGTACCGTACCGTTCACAAAACGAACCGTTCCGTTCTCAAAGCGTACCGTTCCGTGAAAAAAGCGTACCAAACCGTACCGTTCAAGTGGTGTAGTAGCACGGTTTAGGGTCTGTACTATGAAAAGTAACAAAATATTTTAGCATTTTTTTCAAGAATTAAGTATTAAATATATATTTATTATTAATATCTATAGTAGTAAATAGTATTAAAGATTTATCTTATCATGAAAACTGTTGTTGATTAAAATACAGTAGACATGTTGTTCTTTATGTTGTCTGATAATCCTCAAAGTGATTTCGAGCTAATAGTACATGACTTAATGAGCCTAAATGATTCGCTCGTTCTATTTTTTTTATGACTGCAGTGCAAACAAACACATAAACACGAAATTAAAGCAACCTATCTGAACATTTTTATATACTCACAGAATTCCATAATCAGTAAATAACATGTAGTCATTTGTCTGATCGGGCAGGTGTTCTCTTCCTCTATTTCAATTGTATACACTTTGTTGTGGTGTTAAAGGAAGTTTACCATTCGAAAATTGAGTGCAAATATGCAACTTTTTTTCAAATTAAATCAGGTTACGACAACAGAACTGCCAACAACTACAACAACAACGACTTCAATTCCAACAACACAGATATCAATTCCAACGACAAAGACTTCAGTATCAACAACAAAGACATCAATCCCAACTACAAAAACATCAACCACAACTAAGGTTAACAAACTGAAATTCATATTTTTTTATCATATAGAAACATTAAATTTGTTCAATAAATGTATTACAATCTATGAAACTGCGACTTACCTACATTGTAAGTCGTTAAATCTAAGGTTGCAACTGATCTGTCGCCAAGCGCTTAGCACCTTGAAATTTAAGCTATGACACTTTCAAACGACGAAGGCAAAATAAAGATCCCCCACTCCTGAATACTCTGAGTGTAGAGTAAAGGGTGTCATCTGAAGCACTTCACAGGTTAATGGTGACGCCCCTTTATGAGTAAAAGAATATTGAACAAGGCATAAATCAATATACAGTCAATAAGTTATTTTGTGTAATAAACATTCATCTTTGATCTAATCTTGGATACAGGGGCAAAGGATCAGGCCTCAGAGGGCTGTACAATCATTTGATTTTGTTAGTTCTTTTTCAATATGAAGAACCACGCGGTTATCTGTAATTTTTTCCAAATAAATAAAATTTCCTCGAAAAAATTTCTGAATACCGATTGAAAATGAAGAATGCATTGAAAGTTTTACATGGCTATACAGATTTACATACATGTATTACTATAATTGCTTAAATATCCTTTGTGGATCCCAATGCAGAAAAGAGTTTTGTATACTTTTTCCACCCTCTCTTTGGATAGACTTTTATTAAAATAGACGGTAAGATTTATTTGCAGAGGAAGATATTTTGAAAATCACGATAGCCTTTTCATATTTGCAAAAATTGTCATGAGGTGCATTGAACAGTCGCTGGAGTCAGCTATAAGAGTGAATGCAAAATAGAAGAGATCAAAATCTGCAATTTATAACAAATGGAAATAATTCTTATCAAAACATATATGGTGAATGCTGTGAATAAATGGCCCTTTCTGATATCAGGATAATACAAATTTATTATATAGTTAATGCAAGTTGATTCAAAGATAAAGATGAATATATCACAATCCTTCATTTGAAACATAACATTGAAGATCAAGTTTGATTTCATTTCTTATTTTTACACTTGAAATAGAGAATTCTAAAATAAACATACACGTACAGAACCAATTTTCATACAAGAACTTTACAGAGTGAAGGAGTCACACATTCTTCAGGTGGTACATTCTGGACAGCACAATTCATTTATCTGTATCTGTATGAAAAATAAATGTGCGAAAAAATATTTCCTGTACAACATGCGTATGAATTTAAAACTAACCTCGATTTTTTTAGGTAACAACAACTCAGAGGGCAACAGAAACAACACATAGAATACCGGCTACAACAGTTTCGTCAGCAATAGTTACTATGACTCAACCAGTCTCTGGTATTGTTTGCATCTTTATTTTTTTTTTATTTCAAATTATTTAATTTTCATATGTTTAAGGTATGTCACTCGTGAAAGTTGTTAAAACAAGGATTTTTGAAGATGCATATTCTGAATAAGTATTCACATAGTATTACTAAAATTTGCAAAGAAAATAGTTGTCAAAGTTCACCTTAATGAGCTACGGTACAATTAAGATGACCTTTTTGCACATAAATTTAACTCTTTGATTAATTACTTTAACCTTTGTCACATTTTATTAGATGTAACCATAGCAATGACTTTAATCTAACTTTACGTAAAATAGCTTGAATAATATTTATCATTGAATATATCTTGCAAATTAATGCCCGGAAATTATTGTGTGACCTTTTTGTACTAAAAAAGTAACATGTTCGGGATATTAAAAATCTAAATACGCATTAAAATATTTTCTTATATCAAACTTTTTACGACTGAAGTGCTGATCAGTTACAAGTATGGAATAGTTTGAAATAATGAAAAAAAAGTTGTGTTCAGTGATGTTAATATAAGTATTTAAACATTGAATGGAGGAAAACTGTTCAATTCTCTTTAACGAATATTTCAGTCAAAATTACATCTAATGTTAGGGAGAAATCGGAAGACCTACTCATTCCTCGATTGCAACGAAATATCATCTAGATCTTATCTTCACCTGATTCTTCTCTTCTAAACCACTGCTTGAGAAACTTTGATGGTTAAGAGTTTATGAGCTAGTTGATCTATACAAATACAAATTATTATACAAAATTTTCAGTAATTCGTTCATGAGCTAATGACGTTTCAGAGCTGTTGATCTTGTGAAAACACAGTTAAGTGGTAAAAGAAATTAAATCATTGATTAAAGAATATATACACGGAGAAAAACTGTTTGAAAAAATAATGTCGAGAGCTAGAAAAAAGGTTTAAATAAGTGATTATTAAAGTATACTGTGTAAAATATGAACGGATAATATTTTAAAGAAAATCTTGACGCTATTTTTTTTATATTACATTGCCGATAAGAATGCCCCGAGGAAATAAAACAATCATCTTCGCTAGCCAAGGGTTTCTGATACGCTACCCTTCTCATCTTCGCTAGCCAAGGGTTTCTAATACGCTACTCTCCTCATAAACTCTTGGCATACGATGAAGGGATTGTTTTACGTCACGTGATCTTGAATCTATCAGGTATGCACAGATTGTATCATCGCCAGAAATAAATTAAAAAATTAAATCAAAGTTTTTTCATGAATAATTAAGGAGCAATAATTGAGTTATGTTTTTTAGTTATTTATAGAACAAATCTGAAGCTTCAATATAGATTCTTAATCACATATTAAGAAGATATTGGATGACACCATGGCTATTCATAGAATTGAATGTTATCTTACGGATCGTTGTTTATTTGCGTTTTTCATTTCCGCGATTAAAGTGTGAAGATGTATCCCCGAAAGCAAGTATCGTCATTTACAAAAACCAATTGCTGATTGGTCGACCTGGGTGTACTGAAATCCAATCAGAACTCTGGAAAAAAATCTCTATTTATATGAACACCGTATGCCAAGTGTTTATGAGGAGGGGAGCGTATCAGAAACCCTTGGCTGGCGAAGATGTATTACATTATGATTTTAAAATGAAGTCAATTTATTTCTATTAAATCTATTGAAATAAAACTTTACAAAAAAAAAAACGAAAAAAAATGTTCACACATGATATTTAGCTTATTTCAATATTGACATCGTCCATGAACTTTCGAACAACTTGAGGTTGAGAGGGCCCTGGAGAAGATCGAATAGCCTATGCACTAATTAGGTTACCTTCTTTGAATAACTTTTTATTATTATCATTATCTCAAAAACTAATAATCCAATTGAGGTTAAACCTTTAAAAGGTCATTAGGCATGTTATGTAGATTTGCAGAATCAAGATCATTTTGCAGGTGCTTGCGGATGTAACACTTGAAATGACCGATATAATTGATATAGCCGTAACTTTTTAAAATACTTTTGATGATATGCTTTAGAACTCACATAACGATATATACGAGGGTTGTCCGTAAAGTTCGTGTACAGGCTAAGAATTAAATAAATGTTGCGTCATTGATATTTATTATTAGCATTTTTGTGATTCTTAACTAAATGTGAACTGAGAAATGTAAAATCGGATTCTATTTCAAATGTTTAATTACAATTATGACTTCATAATCAGACTTGGTATGGAGACCTGGAGCACCGCGAAATTTCGATAAAAAAAATTATTTATCACGTTATAAACTTCATTTGCATTTTAAAAAATTCTGCAGAAATCTGGATAACTTTTACATTATGAGGTTGACAGACGTTCTCACTTCAAACCTGCAAAATTTGAAAATTCAAAGTTGTCAAATGGCTGAGCAATAAAAGTTAGAACATGATAAGACAGATCGGAATTGTTCAAAAAAGGGACATTTTCAGATAAGGTGGAGCAGTGAGCAGTGATAAAATTCTGTGTAGACATCGGAAAAAACAACTACAAAGACCAATAGATTTTATAAACAATCGGGAAAACATAGTAAAAGAAGCCGTACACTATTATTTAAGTGGTATATAATATTTTCGGACGGAAGAAACAGTTTACAGGATGACATGCGTGAACAAAAACCATCATTCCGAGATTTCAGCGCTGTAAAAATGAACTTCATAACGTAACTTTACCGTATTTCCGTGAATAAAATTGTTTTTTACGCGGATAAAAGTTGAAGGATTGCAGGATATGAGACAGGGATTGTTAAATATTGTTTTACGTATGAAACCTGAACATTTCGTGCACATAGTTTTGATTAGTTAAAGCGACATATGAAATTTATTAAGATATACGGTGACTATATTAAGAAAAATAACACGCACTCGTATTATGCTTTTGACGTCGGGTGACGTCAAGAATTTTCATTTTAGTGCTCCGAGTCTGAGTGTGTGTCATTTTTATTTTGATAAAATTATAATTATTTGTGCTCTGTTTTTCTTGAAAACTTGCATATTAATAAAATGAAACATGAATTTAATGAAAATAATAGTTTCACATATTTTATCAATGTTTGTCAGCAATTATCAATGTTGTCCACGAACTTTCCGGACAACCCTCGTAAGTAGTGTAGAAAAGATGTCGTGGTAATAAAATAGCAAGAGCTCACAAGCACTTCGCTATGATTTGCTTTAATATAAATATCATTACCTTTTTTTAATCTTTAAACGAAATACATTGAAATTTTAAACATAGTCATACGAGGTTCTTCAACATGATATATAAGAAATAATCGTGAAAATAGACGCATGCATGCGTAATAAAATCTAATTTGCTGATGCCTTAAATCTCTAATTATTATCATAAGTCTATTGATTTTCATCAAAACGGAATGAAATTTAGACCGAATTCCTACAGGAAAATGTGGTTATCGTGCACATGCATATATGTGAGCGCGCATCAGTGCTATAATTTGCAATATACTTGATAAACTTCGGTAAAAATTATTAAATCTATAGTGTGTAGATATAATAGAGTTTACCTTATTTAATGAAGCTGAAAGGAAATAAGAAGGTACCAAAAGGAACCCGTGGAGCATATGGGGAACATCTGTAACGGTCCCCCAATTGTAACTCATTATTATTATCATTAAATTTATCTATCATTTTTCTAAATAATTAATGTCCATTTACTTACTAATAAGTGCTGTGTGTTTTTCAAATATATTTCGGGGTTCCCTTCGAATTTGGTCACGAAATGACAGCAAATATTAATCCTTCCTACAATTCCAGCGCCACAGTTTTCTGAAATGTAATAATTATATAATGTAGTTTATGTACGAGAAATGGTGACACTTTAATTTTACCGGATACTGTGTACATGTACCTGTATTAAACAGAAAAATCACTAAAAGTCAGCTATCAATATCACCATGCATACCTTTGAAAGCTCAATTTTCATACAGCTTTACATTGTTAATGTCTTTTTATCAACAATTAGACTAACTCAGTCCCATCATGGGGTCTGCATGTAAGATTCCGGGATATTAATTATTTGTAGCTAAACATAAATGGCGAAGAAAACAATTAAATAGGTACTAATTCCGAATCAGACAATATACTAATAAAGCCTAGCTTTCAGTACTTTGATTTCCGAAAGTACACATGTTGAAAAAGTGTAATAAATATGCTGTATATAAGGAGATTAGTGAACTTATTGTGCAGAAAACCTATAGCTTCAGATTATTTCAAAGTATAATATTCAAGTTGTGAATTCTTGTATTCAGAGTTAAGTTCTCATTATCGATAGTTATTATATACATGTAATTGAAATTCAATGCCCACCTTTATGTTTGTCGCACTATAGGCCTTTCGCTCGTCATGTTCACTGAATAATCCCTTTGTGAAAAAGACTCCAACAATCCCCAGGGTTGTATATCTGGAGGGGGAGTTGTTGTCCACAAATAAATGTGTTTTCAAAGCTGATTTACGTTTAATCTTTAACAGGCATCCAGTGCCCCACTTGTGATGAAGATTTGAACTGTGTTTGGAAGCAGACATGTTATCCCGAGGAAGTTTGTATGATAAGAAATTATCCAGGAGCAAACTTTACAACGCATTGTTCAAGGGTATGTTTTGTTTGTTTGCTTTTTAATGTCCCCTTTGGGAATTTTTCACTCGAACCTTGCCTGCAATGGGATTCAAACCCGCGGCGTAAGAATCAACTCCTTACTCCGCGACTTTCGCTCTTATCAAGCATTACAACACAAGGGCGACGATGGCAAAATGGATTTACGTTAAAAGGATATGTTCAAGTAATGTATAATATTATACCTGTGTAACCCTGCTCTCTCTCTCTCTCTCTCTCTCTCTCTCTCTCTCTCTCTCTCTCTCTCTCTCAGATATTTGGAACGAAGATTAAGCTTGACATACTTAAACACAAATCTCAAAGTTTGGGTTTTATCATTTAATTAAAAGATTCATTTGCTATTCTTTTAAGCCAATATTTTATAGAACAATGACCTCCCATTTGTATATAATGGCAGTCTCCATGTTTTGCCATGGCAAACCCAAAATATGTGTGAGATTAAAAGGTAAAGTAAGAGGCGCACAATGGTAATATGTAATAATACATTTACTGTATATCATATAACATATATCCTTAATATTTTTATTACACTAGTTACATAACTGATATCAATTACATAAATAACAAGAGGCCCAGGGGCCATATCGCTCACCTGAGCAATTCGCTAGGTAAAAGCAAAGATCAGATCAGAACTGAAAGTTTACTTAGTTTGGTGGTGGGGGAGGGGGGGGGGGCTTGAATTTTAACCTCCCAGGGGCTCATGGTTTGAACAAGCTAAAATTTACACTACCTAAGGATGATTCCATATAAACATCACTAAGCATGGATTTGTATGGATGGTTCTTGAGAAGAAGATTTTTAAAGATTTTTCATATACATTCCTATGTAAAACTTTGATCGGCTATTTTAATTTGGCCAAAACCTACCCCTGGGGGTCATGATTTGACCAAACTTAAATCTACACTACCTGAGGATGATTCCACATTAGTTTGATCTTTCCTGTCTCAATGGTTCTTGAGAAGATTTTTTAAAGTTTTTTTCCTATATCTTCCTATGTAAAACTTTGCTCGACCATTTCGGCCCCATCCTATCCCCAGAGGCCATGATTTGAACAAACTTAAATCAACACTACCTGAGGATGATTCCAAATGAGTTTCATCTTTCCTAGCCCAGTGGCTCTGAGAATAAGATTTTTAAAGATTTTCTTATAAATTCTTATGTATAACTTTAATCGGCCATTTTGGCCCCATCCTAGCCCCGGGGGTCATGATTTGAACAAATTGAATTTATACTACTTGAGGATGATTCCTCATTAGTTTCCTCTTTCCTAGCCCAGTGGTTTTGGAGAAAAAGATTTTTAATGCCATTAATTTCTCTCTGATACATAAGTATCTCCCCTTGGAAAAGGATGTGGCCCTTCTTTGAACAAATTTGAATCCCCTTTTTACAAAGATACTTTGTAGCAAGTTTGGTTGAAATTGGCCCATTGGTTCTTGAGAAGAAGATGAAAATGGAAAATTTTACAACAACGACAACAACGACGACGACAGACAACGGGCAAATTTTTGATCAGAATAGCTCACTTAAGTCTTTGACTCAGGTGAGCTAAAAAGCTTTAATGAATCTTTCTATAGTAAAAAAGTTTACATCTTGAAAGGGGTATATTTGGTACGTTGAACCATGGTATAAGAAATAAAATGCATTAATTCTTAAGATTACGATTAGAGCAAAAACCTCCAATGTAACACTAGTTGTAATTTTTCCGTTTTTACATATCAGAGTTGCTTCCTATAAACTAAAATACAGGATAGATAATACTGTATAACTATCTGTGGTAAAGTGTCAATGTGTGTTTTGGGAGGAACGAATGGCCCCGGAAAACATTTGAGTTTGAAAGAATTTCTACTAATCGTTCCCATTGTTACTCAGGATATGGGTCTAGTTTTTAAGTATATTATAGACCGTATTTAACATGTACATATGCCAGTTCTAGGATGGGGGTGCTTAATTCATGAATAAATATTCGTTTACGATAACCTTTTCATTAGATATGACTTTTATATTAAGGATATATTGCTTTAATTTTATATCAAATTCAGGTTATTTGTTTTCCGCTCCGTTCTGCGTTTTAGCAACACCTGGATGGTGTTGGCGTGTCTCAGAATTATTTTTGCTCAAAGTTATATAATAGTGCCATACAAGTTATTTTGTAAAGAAGTAGTAGTAAAGTGGTGACGGAAAGCGTTTGTCAAGCAAAATAGCAGTGAAAAAATGTTCATACTTTAAACTCCTTTGTATTGAACTTGTGTGTGCTGGGGGGAACGAGGGGTATATGCCTCGACTACTTTCGCAACTCTTAAACTCTTAAAGCAAAACTGTTGTAATGTACCCCATACGATACTTTCAAGTTGCCTATCGCGCGTTGACAGAGGTGAAATACATTAACTCTATATATCGATTTCTATTTGACAGAAAGAAGATTGTCTTTTCATAAAAAATTTGGGAGCAGGTGAAATCTGGTGTTGTAGAGATCGCGATTGTATTAAAAACTATTTGGGAATATAACTCGAGGCCATTTGTTGTACGAATGTCCTTTTCGCCAGAAGATTCTAATGAAAATGTAAAAGTTGATTTATGATAATTCATATAGGAATTTCTATCATAATAAAATGAGAAAGCATTGTTTAGATTTTTGTTATCTTTGTTGAAAGAAGACGGAGGAAGAAAGCGTGCGGAATTTTTAGAGCTTTATTATTAAGAAATCATATTCAATTTCTGAATTGGGTTGTATTTCAATTAGGTTCTCATTATTGAAATTTGCTATATGAGTCTTGACTTACTGGACTCGTACATTTTTTTGTATTTATCGGAGAGATTTGAATGTTTTGTCACAAAGTATAATTTTAAGGTAATATGGGTCTTTGCTCCATGAATTTGAAAGAAAAAAATGTATATTTCACTGCATTACATTACCAACCTTACAAGGCTAGTTATACCCACACTTTTTTGGAAATAGGTCAAACTTTAAGGTCATGGGTAAAAATGTCACGCCACTGTCATAGGTAAATACTAATACATATGTTTAATACAATATCTTGTCTCTTCTCATTTAATTGACATGACCGTGATGACCAAGTTTAAATCAATTGTGACAGAAGGACAGACTCCCATACAAATGTACATATTTTTATGTGAATTGATTAAAATTGTCCAAGTGGTTGTAGAGAAGTTAAAAATGTAAAATAATTCCATACGAACAGATGGACAACATACATAATGTGATCAGGAAACCAGAAAAAGATCAAATGAGCTAATAACGTAGGTTTCACAAGTATTTTCAAAGGGTTACCGTGGTTACAGTATTTGAAAAGCTTTTTTTTTCCTTGCAATTTTTCGAGAAGCTGAAAATGTATGGTACATGTATATGCATCCATTGTTGAAAAAACTGAACGGTATGATTGAAAAAATAGTTGATCAAGGTGTTGTGAATAACAAAGTAAAGCTAGTAAACTTTTATAGCTAATTCAACCACAAAACTTAAAGATGCACAATCTTTTCAAATCTTATGATAAATATTTCTTAGAATATTTATATCATTATTTCTGATTTAAAGGACAACAAGAGATACCACCAACATGTTCATGTTTTATGTTCTTTTAGTAACTTATTTGCTGTGAAAACATCTCTCTCGGGAATATTTCCCTCATATGGAGACACCACCACTTAAAAGTAATGAAGATAAGATGTGTTTGTTAAATATCCCTTATAACAGCTTATGGCGAAGGTAGAAGTTATTCAAATGTATGTCTAGCTCAAAGGTCAAGGTCAAAGGGTTATAATTGTTGGTATCAAAAGAAAGTTTGTCACAAAGAATACACATGTGAAATAAAAAAAACATCCCTTGTACTTCCTGTTTAAAATTGATTGCCAAGGTTAATGTTTTTTAAGTGGGTCAAACTCTAGGGCCAAGATCAATCATATTGATACATATTGACAGTTCACAATGAATACACTTGTTAGCATGAAAGCCCTAGCATCTACTGATCAAAATTTAAGCCAAATTACTGATCAGATTTCTGCAGACACGCAGACAGATATGAAATGAACACAAGTGATAAATTATACATATGGTCAATGGGAAACAAATTTTAATTTCAGGGACAGTGAGTGGCCTGCTGGAATTTGCTTTCTTAAAAACCATTTAATTTTTGCCCCATAAAGACTTTGAAGGGCTGGCCCCCTAAATATTTCTTTTCTGCATTGCTAATAAACGAAAAGAAATCTCTGAATAGTTGTTGAACAAAATATCTTTCAAATCACAAGCCTAATCATTTGATTTAAAGAAAAAAGGACTGCATGAACCATCAAATACATGTAAGAGGCCTAGAGGAGCCAAAAGACTTTCATCAATTCTCTTTCACTGTCATTTTTTTATAAATCATTGAAGCAAAAGTGTTTATCTTAATAATCTGCAACAATCTATTATAATATTATGATCATATGTTACGTAATTAGGGGCTATAAGGTGCCAAAATGCTATATCTTTGATTCTTTATACCTCCAGAGGGAGAAATATTTTGATAAACAGTATTGAATAAAAGATGTTCAGAATCGTATTTTGAACACTTTACAACCATTCAACTTTAAGGGCCTTAAGGGCTGGTCTCTGAATATCATTTAATAGGAGGGAAAAAGGGGCTGACCCCTTAAACAAGGGCCCTAGAGGGACCAAAAGACTCTCATTTATAACTATTTGATAATGTCTAATTAATCAGCCAAATAAAATGAAATTGGGGGAAGTCTTGATATTATGTTTTAACAAAGAGTATAGTCAGAATCATATCTAATCTAATCGGAAATCGGACGGAAGACCTACTCGTTGCCTGCAACGAGATCGTATCTAGTTATGTCGCCCCGAACGACGTCAGGGGACATATAGCGATTGTATGCATGCTTTTTATTCTCCAAGATATTTCTTGGACATGACTGGGACAAACATCCTGAAACTATCCTGAAAGATGGATCACTGTTTATAGTTGTGTTGTGTAGACATTCAGTTTCAAAATGGTTATTGTTGCCATGGAAACCTGCAAAAATCTACGAATTTTGTTTGCGAGTGTTTTCTCTGGTCCCTTGAACATTCTTCGTAAAATTTTATTTATGTAATGATAAGTATCTGTAATTGTGCTCATTGGATATAAAAAAAAATATACATATTGTCAATAGTTTCCACGGAAATTATATTGATTGATTGTATATTGTTTAATGTCCCTCTTAAGAATTTTTCATTCTTATCGAGACGTCACCGTATGCCGGTGAAGGGCTTCAAATTTAGACCTATACTCGGCACTCAGGGCCATTGAGCATTGAGGGTTCTTTATCGTGCCAGCGCCTACCGTTACACGGGACCTACGTTTTAAAGGTCATATCCAAAAGACCCGTGACTTTCACTGCTGATGCCGAGCGCTTGGCGAAGGAACAGTCGCTACCTATTTTTACGTCTTAGGTTTGACGCAGCGCCGGGAACGGGAATCGAACCCGGACCTCCCGATCACGAACGCTCTACCACTAGGCTACCGTGAACGGTACGGAAATTATAGGGAAAGAGTAAAAATTCTTTTACTTTGATTTTTTATTCAAACTACTGAAAGAAATAATACAAGTTGATGGTTGTCCAAGCTTTAAGTTCTATGAAAATGTCCAATCAATTGAGCAAATTAAAAACATTTTAGGGTTAATAGGCATGTTGTGTAAATGTATGGAACGAAGGTCATTTTGCGCGCATGCGGATGCGTGCAGCATGTGAATTGATTAATATACTTGTAGGACTCCAAAGTGCGATGATCACGCCAAAGCCCGATGGTCTGCGCCAAACCCCGATGGTCTGACACGCCAAAGTCCGACGGTGCGGAAAAAAATTAACGTTTATGACGTCATAGTAGCACTGCGCCCAAAACTCAATGCTGCGACATGCAATTAAAGGTCTTTAGAATAAGTATAAATAAATGCAAGAACTAACCCTTAACTCTCAGGCAGGTGCGAGAAATAACGCTCGAAAAGTGTGTATTAAAAATAACCTAATTATCTTGAGTTTGGGCAAGACTAACCCTAATCACTCGACTTGGGTGCTAGGTCTAACCCTAATTCATTCGAATTGTGCAATGCAAGTACTAACCCTGATCAATCGAGTGGTGTGCGAGGACTAACCCTATTATCTCTGAAAGGTCCAAACAATAAGCAAAATCAATAATATTTTTTTAGCGAGGACAAGTTCAGAAATGATTGTTTTTGAAGGCAGGACAACAGCGTCAAGGATTGACGACGGATTACTGTGACGTCATAAACGTTGATTGTTCATCCGCACCATCGGACTTCGGCGTGTCAGACTATCGGACTTTAGCGTCGCGCGTCTCATAGGAAACGAGCCATCAGACTTTGGCGTAACCATCTGACTTTGGCGCCCGTAAAGACAAAGATCCATCGGGGTTTGGCGCAGACCATCGGGGTTTGGCGAGACCATCGGCCTTTGGCGTCACCATCGGGCATTGGGGTCTTACATACTTAATATAGGTTGCTATAACTTTTACATTTTTATGATAGAATGCTTAGAAACTCATTATAAAAGGATTTTATATAAGGATATATAAAAAGTGTAGATAATATGACACTGGCTGAAACAAAAAACTCAATATTTTTTTTTTATGAAATGTTTTGAAATTTGAAATATAGTCATGCATTTAGTATATGCTACAATGTGATTTATATCAATTTTATAAAATGCATGCACGTGCTCTGCAATCTGATTGGCTTAAACTTTAAATTGTTATAACTCCAGGATTCGATTTAGAACATAGATATAAATTATACATTTCTACACGAAGGTTTGGTCATCAAGCACACGCATGCATGTACGTGCACGAGAAAATGAGTAAAATGATCAGTAAGCGTATTTTCAAATACTTTTAGATTAAATGCTTCAATATTTAGTATATCAAGATTTCTAAATAATACTGTGTAGACAATTAAGAGATGATATTTTCATTACGCACATGTATTCTCATGCGCACGGGTGCATTGCTAAAATTTGATTATACTTGGTATTCTTCCGGGAAAACTTTGTTAAAGTCTTACTGGCATACAGCTTGCCTTATTCAATGAAGCTTACAGGTAATATTGCACAAAAGGGAGATGAGGAGCGTTTGTGGACCATCTGTAAGGTTCCCGTGACAATTAGCGCTAGTTTTTTTTTTCTAAATTTAACGATTGTGCGTTTTTTCCATAAACATATAACCAATAGCAAGAATATTTTAACGTTTAAGCTCAAGTTCAGAAGAATATTTTCAAGAACCACAGGAAATTCAGAAAATGGTCCATATCTTGAGAGTGTCACCATTTGACTACAATAAAAGCAAGGTAAAAAAATTTAAGTCTAATTTTTCTTACCATAATACATACAAATATATTTCCAATGATTGATTTCCATTCTCGTAATTTTCAACTAGATCGGGCCTCGTTAAGGATATTTTATACATTATTGATACAAACATTCTTCAAGAATTGAAATCAAATACAAAAAGAGAGGACTTCAATGGTTTAGAAATTATTCAACTTGAGTTAAAAATTATGATTTTGATACAAAAAATGAAA